TTTCCAAATTTTCCAAAAGGAGGAAATTATTCGACATGACATAATTAAAAATTCATTATTATTATTATGTGTTAAAAAAAAGAATATGTCAATAATTGCCATAATAATCCCAATATAAACACCAAAGGATATTCTTTTCAAAAAAATGTGTATATAAAATGGTAATAGATATTAGAGAAAAATATCCATTGACGTTTTAAAAGTAAATTTTACATATTTATAAATATACCAAAATCTGATATAAAAATAATAATAATTGAAAAATTGAATACGAAAAAAAATTTGTTGTCTAATTTTTCTACATTCTGTATATAAAAATAATATATAGAAATTTAAAATGTTCTATACATATATAATAAATTGGACGATATATTTTTTTTATTTATAAAAATAAATTTTTTTCACGCGATAAAATTGGGGACAGCACGCACAGTAGAAACTGATTTGTCTGCTTAAAATTGTTAATTTTTTGTTTTTCTTTTTTTTTAATCACGAGTATTTTATATATTGATAATCCCATAGCTCTGTACAAAATTGCAGGACACATGACACTATTTTTTTTGTATAATTTTATTTTTTTCTTCTTTCTATGAATAATATCATACAATTATTTTTTAGAAGTTTGAACTTATAAAAATTGAATTTAATAGAAGTGGTTGTAAGTTATTCAATTTATTTCTGAGTTAATTAATTATTATTCTTAATTTTTTTTCAAATATATTCTTGAAAAATAAAAAAATTAATTTAATAACATGAGTTAAATAATTATTCATTATTATTAAATAAATTTGTTTTAATTTTATTAAATTTATAAATTTTTCAATTTCAATATTAATATTAATTGCTTGATAATAATTAACAACGTTAATAGCATTTAATAGTCATTTTAATTATATAACTATTATTATTATTATTATTATTATTATTATTATTATTATTATTATTTGTTATTGTTATTTTTATTATTATTGTTATTAAATAATAATTATATAATTGTAATTAAAAATTTATAATTAAAAAAAAAATAATTATTTGTTTTATTCGTAATAATTATTGCTTTATGAATTTGATTATAATTTTTACAGAATGACTATACTGTACAAACGATACATATTATATTATACAAAACATTGAAAAAAAGTTACTCTTTACATGTTAATTAATGAACAAATTGTAGTAGTGACAACACAATCAACAAATTAATAAATTACAGTCGGTACAATAGTTTCTAAGACTGTTTTGCATGATCTCAGTTAATATTGATTGTCAATAATGTTGCATGGTATAAAATATTGAATGAAACCACTCTTTAGCATTTCGATTTAGGATAGTTGGTAATTAACAATTTTAATATAGTATAAACTTTTGCTCTAACTAAAAAAATACTAATTTAATTTAGTCTATTAATTTTGCTGATTGGTTTTCTTATTTATTTTGAGATTTTTATGATTTTTTCAGGGTTGCCACAGGTTATGGAAATCAGGGAATGAATTTAATTTATTATTATGTAGATTACAAAATTTTTTAGTTTCAAACATCAATTACAATTTTTTAATAATTTTAGATTTTAAATTGAAAAGATTGAACTTTAATAAAATTCTTCAAAACAATTCAATTATTTTCACAAAATTTAATAAGAATTTTCGCAAAGAGATTCAATTATTTGCAATACAATTTTAATTAAATTTCTCTACAGAATTCAATATTATTTTCAAAAAATTTAATAAAATTCTTCGCAAAGAGATTCAATTATTTTCAATACAATTTTAATTAAATTCATTGTAAATGCAAAAATTAAATTATTTCCATATTACATATAATAAAATTCTTTGAAAGATATCAATTATTATTTTCAATGGAATTTTAATTAAATTCCTAAAAAGATTTTAATAAGTTTCAAAAATTTTAATAAATTTGTTATTTAAGAGATTTTAATTATTTCTAAAATTTATAATAGAATTTATAGTAAAAATTCAGTTATTTTCAATACAATATTTCAATATTTTTTTTTCAAGAATTCAATCATTTTTATATAATAAAATTTTTAGCAGAAAATAAATTATGTTCAAAAATTTGTATAATATTCTTCGAAAGAATTGAACTATTTTCAATATTCTTGAAAGAATGGAAATTTCTTTTGGAAATTTTAATTAAATTGTTTGCAGAAATTCAATAATTTCCTATATTCTCAAAGGAAATCATTTTTTTTTTAATTTAAATAAAATTCTTCACAAGAATTCAATTATTTTCGTTAATAATAAAATTCTTAGCTAGAATTTAATTATTTTCCTAATTCTTGAAAAAATTCAGTAATATTTGTAAGTAATAAATTCTTCATAGGACAATTCCATTATTTTCGATTTTATCGAATTATTTTCAATATTTTCAAAGAAAGTAAGTAAATTATTTTGGAAAATTTAATCAATTTCTTCACTAGAATTCAATTATTTTTCTAAATAGTAAAATTCTTCGTTGGAATTCAATTATTTTTATAAATAATTAAATCACAACAAAAACATCTTTGATGCAAAAAGTTCCGCCAAGTAAAAATTTTTGTAATTGTCCAAACAATTATTGAAATAAAAGTTTACTAAGTAAAATTTATAATTAAAGTTTTAAATTTTAATATTATTTTATTAATATTACTAATTACATGTCCGAATTGAGTCGATATTTCACGTTCTATTTTGAATTGTAACAAATATGAAATTTAATTTTATGATTAACATAAGCAAAAAATGAAATCTAATTATTTGTCTTAATAAAAAATTTCTATTTAAGTCAATTTGAAAATCTTGGCGTCAATACTTTTTCTAACGTATAATTGATGAAAGTATTGATGCCAAGATTTTCAAATTGCCTTAAGTATAAATGTTTTATTAAGACAAATAATTAGATTTCATTTTTTGCTTATGTTAATCATGAATATAAATGTTCGAAATAATTGAATTATTTTCTAAAATTTTAATATAAATATTCGAAACAATTGAATTATTTTTAAAATTGTTCATAAAATTCTTTATAAGAATTTTCAATTATTCCCAATACGAATTTGAATCCCTCAAAAGAATTTAATTATTTTTACAAAATTTCCATAAAATTCTTCAAAACAATGAAAAAATTAGGATTTTTAAAAATTTATGTAAATAAAATTCTATGCAAACATTAAATTATTTCAGATTCAAAATTATATAAAGTTACAAAATTTACAAAAAGTAATATAAAAAATAATATGAAAAGTTATAAGAAATGTTATCTTTTAAAATAGAAAAAATCACATTTTCGTTATTTAATTTTTTTTAGAGTGAATGAAAATATTCTTTAGGGTCAGGGAAGAAGTTAAAAATTATCTAAAAATCAGCGAAAAGTCAGGGAAAAATAAAATAATTTTGTGGCAACCCTGTTTTTGTGTGATATTATTTTATTCTTATTATTCACATATTTTTATCATTCATCATATATTATTGATTTATTTTTTGTTTGTTTTTAATGTCATACAAGTTATTTATATTTTTGTAACTATTTACATTGTTTAATATTTATTCTATATTATTTATTAATTTATTTGATTATTTATTATTTATTGTTTTGAATTTTATCAATTAAAAAATAGTAAAGAATTTATTATTAATAATTCTTTATTAATTATTTATTTTTATCATTTATTTCGTTTACTATTAATTGTCAACTATCTTAAAACAAATTCACGCAAATTTGAAAAAAAATCCTCTACGTTTATTAGGTATAAAAAAAATCGCAGAGTCATAATGTTTATATAAAATATAAGTAATTTTTAATTTTAATTACCTTATTTAGTTATTTTATTTAATATACTTTTAATTTTATATATAAAATAATATATTTATTTATAATAAATATTTTATTAGATAAAATTCGGATATCTTTGAATAAATTTCCGATTTCGGTAGTCACGTCGGCTTTGAATTTATTGTTGCTTGGCTTATATTATAGGTTCACATGTATAAAAGTAATAATATATAGCTAACAATCGATTCAAAACAAATTAAATAAATTCGCATGATCCTTTCAATTGAGGATAAGTATAATAAGTAATTATATTTGATTTAGTTAAAAAAAAATGTTTTTTAATAAAAAAATTTGTTTAGTAAAGGAAATAGTAAAAGTGTGATAAAAATGCGAATTAGTGTATAAAATAATTGTTCAGATAAATTTTGTATGTATCAATTTTTTCATTTCTTTTTTCTTTTCATAGGTACTTTTAAACTTGGAATGTTTTTCTTATTTTTATATAAAAAATAATAACTTTTGATAAATATTTTTTTATTTAGGAAAATTAATTAGAAAATAAATTAATAGAAGGAAAATAATAATTTTCTTGGAAAAAAATTATTTCGTTTTTTATATCATTGTTTTTATTAGTTTTTTTATTTAGGAGAGTTTGGAGGTAGTTTTTTTTCCTTCGGGAAAAATTATTTCTTTTTTTTCGTTTGAAAATTATTGATAAAATAAATTAATGGAAAAATAAATATATTTTAGTTATTATTAGAGAAATGTAAATAAATAGAGAAAATTTTTAAGTAGAGGAAAAAGAAATATAGATTTTGAATAAAAACATTAGCATCTAGATATCTCGTATTTTTATCGTAATATTGTGATAATTATTTTAATTGTTTGTGTTGTGTTCGTTACCTTCGTTACCATGACACATAATAAATACTCCTTTTCTGGAGTTTAATATAATAGTTTATTTAAATGTTGTTTTACAAATTTGAGTAGATTTTGATGAGTTTTCTATTAAAGTAAAAAATAATTTGAAAGTGCATGTTAACACTGGAAATTATTACCAAAAAAAGAAACCAATAGTAAATTTCACTATATTGTTGAATTTTTTATATTCAAAAAATTTTTTTCTTTTTGAATTAAAAAAAATTGAAAGAACACACAATAAAGTAGTTTTGTTGCTAAAATCGTAATAAGTATGAAAAATTATATTATTAATTTCTTTTGGGTCATATTAGGTGATCTTCCAACTTACATAACACGATTTCAATGGGACATGGCAAAATATCCAATTAAACAATCATTGAGAAATATTGCGGATATTATCAGTAAACAAGTTGGACAGATAGACGCTGACCTGAAGACCAAGTCAACCACTTACAATAATTTAAAGGGTAGTTTACAGAATCTGGAAAAGAAGCAAACGTATGTATTTTTTTGTTACACTTTGACCTTTTTTTACTCATTTCTAATTTTTGCAAAAGTATAGCTACTTATTTTGCAGATTTTTGATATAATTTTTATATTGAATAAATTAGTTAATTTTGGATAAAATTGTATTTAATTGTATTTATTAAATCTGATTATTATTTACAGAGGTAGTTTGCTGACGCGTAATTTGGCAGATTTGGTGAAAAAGGAACATTTCATTCTTGAAAGTGAATATCTATCTACCCTCCTTGTCATCGTTCCAAAGTGAGTAAAAAATGTTAATGTAATAAATTATCTAAACAGAAGAATATTGATAAAATATGAATAAAATTCATCCGTATAAGGTAGAATTAAAATTTTTATTTACAGGAAATTAATATTTAGTAGAATTGGCAGTTTCATTTTATTTCATTCCATTTTTGCTTTATATTAAGGCAAAAATTGCTTTTTTTTAAAGAAACAATTGCTTTGCCTGTTATGCTTTTGAACTTAGGCAAAAATTGCCTATAAGTAAAAAGCACATTCTGCCATGTTTTTTTTTTCAGTGCGGATAGTATGACTTTTTGGACTTTCTCGACTATTTTAAAAAAATGTCTTTATTCCAATTATTTAAAAAAATGGGAATTTTTCGACATTTATTCTAAATATTGCAACAAAATGCCAATTATTTGGTTCATTTCCTTCAAAGGAGGAATGTTCAAAACCTACTATTTATTACTTTTTTTACAACTTGCTACTATTTGGATACTTCTTTAGATTTATGACACTAAAAGCAACTTTTTTTTAAAGAAATTTGCATCACTTTAAATTCAGTAATAGTTTAAATAGAAAAAATTCTGAAAATTGTAATAAAATTCTTTAAAACGATTTAATTATTCTCAAAAACTTTTCGAAAATCAATAATTTTCAACATCTACAATTTTGATAAAATTTCACAAAAGACTTCACACAAAAAATTCTTTGCAAATATTCAATTTTTTTTATAAGTAATAAAATTTTTGTTTACTTTTGAAAATTACTTTTAAATACAATTGTATTTTTGAAGAATTTTAAATAAAAATTTAGATAATAATTGAATTTTTAAAAAATTTGAAATTTGTAGAAAAGAAAATTAAATTTTGGAAGAAAAAGATTCTTAATTTTAGAAAGTAATTGAATTTTGAAAGAAAAAAATTTGTAATTTTTGAAGGAATAACAGTTATAATTTTTGGAAGTAATTGAATTTTGAAAGAATTACAGTTATAATTTTTGAAAATATGTAGTTAAATTTCAGAAGATTTGTTATTAAAATTGAAATTTAAAAATTTTTAATTCCTTGGAAAAGTAAATAAGAAGTATATTTAAATATTTAAATTTAGAAAAATAATTGAAATTTTGAATAGTTGAATTTAAAAATCAGTGAAATATCATGGAAACCGAAAATAAAATTTTTGTGACAAAACTAAATATTAATAAATATTAATAAACTCCTTTGTTTTGCTCCTCAAAGTCAATCCGAGGCGTGTTTCCAATTTAATATAAATAAATTAATTATCTAATATAAAAATTCTCTTTTTAGGGCAAATTTTCAAGAATGGAATATTGTGTACGAAAAATTGACGGACATGATTGTTCCACGAAGTTCACAACTCATTACTCAAGATGCAGAATATGGTTTATTCACAATAACCCTGTTTAAGAAAGTAATTGAAGAATTCAAATTGCATGCACGTGAAAAAAAGTTCATTGTTCGTGATTTTATTTACAATGAAGAAGAACTTGCCGCTGGTACGTAATTAATAAAAAAAATCGAAAATTGATTATTAAATTTTTTGTAATTTTTAAATTTAATAATGTATTTTCTCTTTCTTTTTAGGAAAAAACGAAATTACTAAACTAGTGACGGACAAGAAGAAACAATTTGGCCCTCTCGTTCGTTGGTTAAAAGTTAATTTCAGTGAATGTTTCTGTGCCTGGATTCACGTGAAAGCGCTTCGTGTTTTCGTTGAATCTGTTTTGAGGTAATTTTCAGTCTAAGCTTTTGAATATTTGTTTAACAAAAATTATTGAAATTTTGAATAATTTAATTTAGAAATTCCGAAAAAATTAGTTTTTTAAAAAATTGTAATTATATGTTTTTTTTAAGAAAACTGAATTCCCGAAAATAATTTAAAAAATTGAAGCAATTGCAAGCTTTGTCAAATTTCATTGAAATAAATTTTACATTTGAAAGAATTTAATTTTATTACTTTTAAAAATTGTTTTGAAATATAATCGTATTTTTGAGGAATTCTATTTCGAAAAATTATATTTTTTCTGAAAATAATAAATAAGTTTTTGTAACTAACAATGAGCTGAATAATTTAATTTAAAATTTTTTAATTTATGTTAGTTAAAAATTTAATCTGTAACTTTTTTTTAGGTATGGTTTGCCAGTCAATTTTCAAGCAATTCTTCTTCATCCACACAAAAAGAACACAAAACGTTTACGTGACGTTTTAAATCAACTTTATGCTCATCTCGATTCATCTGCAACTGCTTCCGGTGGAAATCAAGATGTAAGAATTTAATTTTTTAATTTTCCTCCTTTAATTTAATTTTCTTTTTTTTTATTTGCATTGAAATAACAATTTAAAAAATTTAAATATTCCATTTTACAGAGTGTAGACATTCCAGGCTTGGGTTTTGGCCAGAGTGATTATTATCCCTACGTTTATTATAAAATCAACGTAGATATGGTCGACAATAAAGTTTAGTAAGTAAATATTGAATCGCTGTTAAATTCACAGCAAGAAGCGGAATTTGGCGGCATCGATTAATTTAGCTAATTTTTATTTCAAGTTCTAAACGAGAAAAAATCGATTATTATAATTATCCTTTACAAAAAAAAAAGAAAAAAAAATGATAAAATCAATGCACACACTCCCAAAAAAACACGATTCTGTGTACATTTATATTCTCAAATAATTTATAAGAGATATGTTAAAAATTGTAAAGAAAAAAAAGAAAAGAAATTATACGGTTCTCAGGTATATAATTAATTTATTCTATTTGCAAATGCAAAACAAAGAAATCAATTAAGATGGGAAATAATATTTTTATATAGTCGTTAACAAAATATGTATAGTCGGGCACCGATGCATAATACCTTTAAAAAAGAAATTAATGTCAATGTATCTATTTGTACAAAAAATATAGAAAAAAAGAGTTCATATTTCAAAATATGTTTCCCAGTTCGAAATTTTAAAAGTATTAAAATAATTTTCCGTCAAATATAATAGAGATGTATTCTTTTCTTTGAAATTTTAAATATTTTTTTCTTTGAAATATATAATTTTGAATTGTATGAATAATAAACTAAATACTTCGAATATTGTAAGAAATAGAAATAGTAATCTCAAATTTTAATTGACATACATATTTATAAGAATCGCATTATTAATTTTTCATGAAAATACTATTTTTTTCCGCATTAAATCCTGTTTAATTGAATTAATTATATAATTATAATAAATTTTATTTGCAAAATTATTTTTTTACAAGTAAAATAAAAAAAAAGTATAAAACGATTTTAATTGTAATTATAATAATTTTAATTAAAGTTAAAGCAAAAAATTTTAATTTGCTTTAAAGAAAAATTGTTTTTAATTCCGAAAGAGATATTTTTATCAGTATTTTCAAGTGATTATTAAAATAGAAAAAAAACATGTACACAGAAACTGTAAAAAGTCATATATAAAAACTAAGTATTGGAAGATTTATAATTTAAGGATTAATTTCATTGTAAATAGCCAATGAAATTAGAGATCGGAAAAAAATATATATATATTTCATAATTCGTTCATAGTATAATAATTTTCTTTTCAAGAATATAGTATTTTTATTAGTTTAGATGCCATTCCAAGTTTTATAATCATATTTGCTTTTACACAAAGAACTAGAATATTTGAAAAACAAATAAAAAATCTAACAAGCGTTAAGGGCAGTTGTTGCATTCGCACGAACTTGAAAATGATAATGACGTACATTTTTTTTTGTATAAAAAAAATATAATTTTAACTCGAATACGCACTAATGCATAACAAATTAATATTGTAATTATTTTTCTATCGTAACAGATGAAAAATTCTGAGACACTGTATCTAAATATTTTTGATTGGCAGATTCTGATTTCTTTTCTAAATAGTGAATTATTGAATTTTTTAATGATTTTGTCGACTGCAATGTTTGGGTTTTTTAAATTCAAGAAATAGAAGTCAACGCTTTTAGTTAATTTTTAACATTACAATTTTGTTTCAATAATTGATGACAATACAGTGTGCGTTATTTGTATATTATTATTATCTTGTTATGATTATAATTGTGAATGTTGTTTTTATTTGTAAAAATAATTGAATGAATGAATGAAAAAAAAACGTTAAATAAATGAACTGTTGTAAGTTGTAGATATCGTTATAACGTGACTCTTTTGTTTACCATAAATACTTATGCATGTACTATAAACATGTACTGTATAATTATAAATAAATTATGTTGCGTTAAATATTGATATTTTATTTTCTGTTGTAGGTAAAAAAATCATGACTACGTTTACGTAAAATGCATACGTATTTTCTGTTATTTTTTTAGAAATACTGTCTTTTTTATTACTTACTTGCTATAAAACTTGAATTGTTGTTGAATAAGATTTTGGTCCATTTGAATTTTTGCACTTTTATAAAATTATTTAAATGAATTTCAGGTTTCTAACTTATCTACTAAAACCTACTATTAACTATTTGCTACTATTTGGATACAGTGAATCCTGTCGGAATGCAACTCGATTTTCTAAATTTTATTACTGTAAAAAACAAGCCTTAAAAAGTTGTTGTATAATTTAATTTTGTATTATTTTTACCATATTCTGGAATTAAGCGAAAATAATTTTTAAAAACAAAAAAAAAAGTTTAAATAGCGTTGCATTCTGACAGGTTTGGCTGTACTTTAAAATAATATAATTATTTTCAAAAATTTAAATTATCTTTGTAATAATAAAATTCTTCGCAGAAATTTCATTCTTTAAAAAAGATTTTGATAAAATTCTTCGCAAGAATTCAACAATTTTCAAAAATATTCCAAAAATTCTTTGCAGAAATTCAATTATTTAAAAAAAATTTTAATAAAATTCTTCGTAAAAACTCAATTATTATCATAAATAATAAGATTTCAACAAGAACTGAATAATTAAAAACATAATTAATTCCAAGAAAAATTTTCCAAAGAAATCAATTAGGTATTTTAAATATTATAATAAAATTCTTTGAATGAAATTAAATATATTTCCAAAATTATAATAAAATTCAATTATTCAATTATTTTTAATCTTATTTTAATTAAATTCTTTGAAGCAACTGAAATATTATCTTTTAAATTTTAATAAGAGACTTAAGAAAAATTCAATTATTTTCATAAATAATGAAATTTTCACAGGAATTCTAAATACAATTACTTTCGAAAGAAATCAATTATTTCAAATATTTTAATAAAATTCTTTGAAAGGAATGAAATATTTTAACAAAATTTTATTAAAGTTCTTTGCAAGAATTCAATTATTTTAAAAATTAAAAATCATTATTTAAATTTCCAATTAATTGTAAATTTTTGTCAAACCGGAAAATAACAGTGAATTTTTATCCTGACCGGGATTTTGGAAATATTTTTTTAAAAACACATTATTTTGTGAGAAAAAATAGAAATATTTTTTTTAAGAATTATATATAATAATCGTCGTGATTCCAGATTTCCGGATCTCTGTCCACACTTGAAGTTAGTTATAGTTATTCCTTTGTTTTTTATACGTTTTGATAGAAAATAGAAATATACATATACATATACATACATTATAATAATAGTAAGTTTCCTTTCCGTTAGCAAATTATCTGCATTCATTTGTTTGTTTTGAAAATTTAATTTTGTTGGTTAAGTATTGGCATTTTTTATATATTTTTTAATGTCAAACTTTTTAATGTGGAAAATACTTTACTTATTAAATTGTCTCGACTCTTTGGTAAAAAATCTAAAATTATCGAAAATTATCAAAAATTCAAAAATCCGAATTTCTTAAAATTTAACATTCTTTCCTCTCTTTTATGGGATTTTACTTCATTATTTTTGTGCTTTTGGAAAATACTTTACTTATTAAATTGTCTCGACTCTTTAGTAAAAAATCTAAAATTATCAAAAATTCGAAAAAATTCAAAAATCCGATTTTCTTAAAATTCAACATTTTTTCTTCTCTTTTATGGGATTTAGCTTCATTATTTTTGTGCTTTTGGAAAATACTTTACATATTAAATTGTCTCGACTCTTTGGTAAAAAGTCTAAAATTATCATAAATTCGAAAAATTTCAAAAATCCGTTTTTCTTAAAATTCAACATTTTTTCTTCTTTTTTATGGGATTTAGCTTCATTATTTTTGTGCTTTTGGAAAATACTTTACATATTAAATTGTCTCGACTCTTTGGTAAAAAGTCTAAAATTATCAAAAATTCGAAAAAATTCAAAAATCCGATTTTCTTAAAATTCAACATTTTTTCTTCTCTTTTATGGGATTTAGCTTTATTATTTTTGTGCTTTTGGAAAATACTTTACATATTTAATAGTCTCGACTCTTTGGTAAAAAATCTAAAATTATAAAAAATTATCAAAAATTCAAAAATCCGAATTTCTTAAAATTCAACATTTTTTCCTCTCTTTTATAGGATTTAGCTTCATTATTTTTGTGCTATAGGAAAATACTTTACTTATTTAAAACTCTCGACTCTTTGGTAAAAAATCTAAAATTATCAAAAATTCGAAAAAATTCAAAAATCCGTTTTTCTTAAAATTCAACATTTTTTCTTCTCTTTTACGGGATTTAGCTTCATTATTTTTGTGCTTTTAGAAAATACTTTACTTATTAAATTGTCTCGACTCTTTAGTAAAAAATCTAAAATTATCAAAAATTCGAAAAAATTCAAAAATCCGATTTTCTTAAAATTCAACATTTTTTCTTCTCTTTTATGGGATTTAGCTTCATTATTTTTGTGCTTTTGGAAAATACTTTACTTATTTAATAGTCTCGACTCTTTGGTAAAAAATCTAAAATTATCAAAAATTCAAAAAACCGAATTTCTTAAAATTCAACATTTTTTTCTCTCTTTTTAGGGATGTAGCTTCATTTTTTTTGTGCTTTTGGAAAATACTTTACTTATTAAATTGTCTCGACTCTTTGGAAAAAAATAAAAAATTATTAAAAATTATCAAAAATCCGAAAAATTGAATTTCTTAAAATTCAACATTTTTTCCTCTCTTTTATGGGATTTAGCTTTATTATTATTTGAATTTTTATTCAAGACAAAAAATGGAAAACTGAAAAAATTTAGAATTTTTTAAAAATTACAGGCCTTTTCCATGATTTCCATGATTTCCAGATTCTGTAGGAACCCTGCTTTTGTCTGACTTTCTTCTAAATTATCGAATTCAGTGATTTCTGGGGTGAATTTGGTTAAGTTGTAAAATGATTAATTTCTATTTGAATTCGTTTTTTTTGAATGTAGAAAATCTGATGTTAATTTAATTCTTTTTTCATTATGCACGGCAAAAAATATTTAGCTGGATAAACTACAGATTTCACTTTAGTAGCGAAATTTTTCAGTGCTTCAATTAATACTTTCGTTATTCTAGAGAAACTTATCGCTATTTCAAGTAAAACTTTTTTCAGTGTGTAATAATTATTATTTCTTTAAAAAGTATTTAATCTAAAATGGCTTTATAAAATAAGCAATGCAAAAGATGACCCAGATACTAATTGTAATTGTTCTAGCCATAGTTTAAGTCTAGTAATGTAAATTCTATTTAAATTAAGACCATTGAGTGAAATTATTTGAATTTTAGTTAGTTAAATCTCTTTGTTAGGTTATAATAATTATTTCTTTAAAATTTTTTAAATTGTTTAAAATAAGCAGCCCCATACAACATTCCCGCGCGCTTGCGCGCGGATAGTTTGGCTATAGTTAATATTATATATTTCATTAAAAAAGATTGAATGATCTTCTATAAAATCTATTTATTTTGTCAGGGAATTTTATCAAAAGTACTATAAAAATATTCATTTTCTAGAATTTATAAGAAAAATTTTAAATTTTGTTGTTCAACGTAACAGACTTGGAAAAAGAAAATATTAAATTTAATTTTAAATTCTTTCTATTTCTAACAATAATTAAACAAAATATAATTTTAATTAAATTTGTCAAAAGAATTTTAGATCCTATAAAATATTGAAAAATAAATCAATTTAAAATTTTTTTTTGCAATAATATTATAACAAAACAAATTTGAATTATTAAAAATTTGAACTAATTAGAAAAAAAGTGATACGAAATTTATAAAAATTAATTTTCAAATAATAAATAAAGTAAATAAAAAATAAAAATAAATAAAATTTCTTTTCTTAGAAAATAAATTTTTAAAAACCGTATTTTGCATTAATATCAATTAGTTTTTTTTTTACAATTATTCATATGCAAATTTTTCTATATTTTAGAATGTTAAATTAATATTACTAATATTATTAAAGATTGAATTTTAAAAAGTTTCAAATTGAAGTTTTAGATAAGTTGAATTTTTAAAGATTTTTATTAAAAATTCTAAATAAGTTAATTTTTTGGAATATTTTTATTCACATTTTTTCAAATTAGTTATGTTCTTAAATATGTAATATTTAATTGAAAAACTTTCAAATTATTAAAAATTTCATGAAATTGTCTTGTAAACAAGTGGATTTTAGAATATTTTAGTTAAAATTTCTAGAAAATTAAATTAAATTCTTAAAAATTATTCAAATTTAAAGGATTTGAAATTTGAAATGTTTTTTGAAATTTGAATACCTAAATGGAAAAATAATGGATAATAATTAAATATTTATTTCAAAAAATCTATTTAAGTTCAAAATTATTTTTAGTATTAAAGATATTCAAAAAAAATGTATTATAAACATATTTTGGAGTTTCAATTATTTTTAGAGTAAACTAAAATATTTTTAGGGTTTGGGAAAAAGTCAAAGTTTTGTCTAAAAATCAGGAAATTCTTTCAATCTTTCATGGAATAATTTATTTTCAGAGTTATTCTTTATGACCGAGGAAAATAATTTATGACCGGGAATGGACCGGGAAATGATCGTGAATTTTTTTTATGAAAAAAGTGGCCACCCTGAAACGTATTTTTGAAGAATTCTAACTAAAAATTTGAAAAATAATTGAATTTTTAGAAAAATCTAGAATTTGAAGTTATTATTGGGACATTGTAAATAAATAAACCTAAATAAGAAAAAGTAAATATTTTTAAGGAAATTAAGAAATTAGAGAATTAAATTTTTCTGATTTTTGTAAATTGCAAAAAACAAGTTTTTTAGGTCAAATTTAATTTTTCAAAAATCACTTTTTCACTACTTCTTTTCAATCTTAATGCCACTTTTTGCTACTCTTTTAAAAATTAATTATTGAGTGCCAAGTCTGTAGTTTATATCAGACGAATTTTAAATTAAAAATGATTCAAACTGAGCAGGAACTTAAAGCACTAGAATAACAAACACTTACAACACTTGAAACTTAATAACTTACTAAAATTAATAAATTATACAGATTCGAGATTCAAATTTAAATTTGAATAATAAATAAAATCCTTTTTTTATTATTCAATAATTTAAATTTGATAATTAAATACAAAAATCCTGAAAAAACCATTAAATATAAAATTGTCAAAAATTCCAAACACACTTATATGTATTATTTATTTTTATTAATATATTGTAATTTAATAATATAATGACATAATACAATAATTAAAAAATATAATGTTTTCTAATAGTACAATCGATAATAACGATAAAATATGATCATGTATATATGTATACATATATAATAGTAGTTGCTCGGCAATTCAGAATGATTTTACAAAATGAATTTGCTTAAACAGTTACAAAATATAGTGCAAATATTTTTTTTTGCTATACACAACAAGGAGGGAATTCACCTTTTCTTTTTTTTCATTTTTTTCTTCTTTTTTTTCTTTTTTGCTCTCTATATAGATACAATTAAATATTTTCCAAAAAACAATAATTTTTTTCTTCAACATTTGAACTATTTACCTACTTTTTTTATATCGAGAAATATGAAAATTTAATAATCTGACTATAATATGGCTGAATAAGGCTCAGTTCGTTATCTAATCAGGCTTTGACCAAAAGTTAGTTTGCGTCGTTTTTTTTTATTTATTTTAATTAATTAACAAGCTGATCAAAAATATCACTATTATAGCCCTTAAAAAATAAAAATTCAGAAAAAACGGAAAATATGGAAAATATTTCCGGATTCTGAATAAAGAAACAAAAAATAGTCTAAGGTCTTAAATAGGCCCGAAATACTGCTTTCGCATATACTGATATATTTTATAATAGAATTCAGTTTGTTGACAATTTTTTGATAGAATAAAATTGTTTCATGCAAATTGAAATTTCTTTTCTATCTTTATTGTTCTTCCATTTTTTTCTTTTTTAAACAAAGGCCTACTTTATATCACATTCAATATAGAGAATATCGATAGATATTAATTATTTATCGGAATAAGACAATGTCGACAAAATGTCTTTCTTCTTTCAGCGCACTGTCTAAAAAAAGCGAACATTGCTCTCGCATTTTTATAAATTAAAAACTTTTCTCAAAAAAAATTTAATGCAAAAAAACACTGTCCGACAACTCTCCCAATTCTCATCAGTTTCTCATCGATTTTCGTTTTCCCAGAAACACTTTTTTACTTTTTTCTATTCAGAACTATTTTACGACTTCCATTTAGGAATTAATCATTTCTGATTCATTCCCATTTAGAAACTATTAAAATAAAAGTGCGAGTATTTTTTTAAAATTTGTATAGAAAAAAAAACTGATAAAAAAGATCCAAAGAGATAAAAAAAATCAGACAGTGTAACAATCGGAATGTAAATACATAAAAAAAAATTTTCGATTTGTTGAAATGAAGGAGTTATTGCCTCTAATAGAATGTTGTCAGATTTTTCTAAATCTGTAAAAATTAATAATTATTTTCAACATTTATCCACTAATATTGCTAAGTTTTCTTCATTATTAAAAACTGTTTTTTAGAGCCTTGCCTCCACAGTTATTTTATTTTTCGGTCATTCTATTATCTACGGGTTTTTCTTCGTAACGTTGTATATTTTCAAAATTTTTTCCTCTTTAATTTCCTAATTTTTTTTTTAGTAATAAACTCGAGATATTATGTGTACGATTAAATATATTACTACCTGTGTTAACTCAATGACATTATTTGATTATTATTTTCTCTTTATAGAGAATTTTCTTTTTTTGAAAAAATATTCACTCTCGAGGACTAAAAATTACATTAATCTACAACAACAAAAAAACAGAAGAAGAAGAAGAAGTTTGTGTTAAAATTCTAAATTTATTCTATTATCTACATTAAGAAAAAAAGTTGTTTTCTTTTCTGAATTCGCTGCAAACGGTTGATATTTCTTTTGTTTTAAAATAGAAGTAGTTTTAAAACTATTTATACAAATGTAAATTGTATTGGGAATTTTTTTCGTTAGTTTTGAAAAAAGATTGAAAATTTAAAATAGTTTAAACATAAACATCAAACAGGATGTTAACTGATAATTGATCTTTATGTACAAGTTTCAATAGTTGAACTATACGGTATTTTCTACCTTGTTTTCTACAATGTGTAATTAATATTCAATAAAGTACAAGAAAAATGTACAGTTATCTCTCTTTGGAGATAAAGACAAAAGTTGAAATTGTCTTTTTTTCGTAAACGTTTCTAATAAAGATGGAATTTTTTTAATTTCTTTTTAATAATTATAATAATATATAATTTAGTATCTTAGACTGGAAGGTCTTTAGCGATAGGAATTAATTTTGCAGTCTTGATAATGAAGTGCCTACTGTCCAGAGTAGACACAGCATTTTTAATAACAATTTTTAACTTCTGTTATTGTTTGGACTTAGAGGACTGCCAATGTTGTCAATTTCACGTTGAGCTCGAGAAATTTTTACCTTGTCTCTTGGTGTACCATCTTCTCCCGTTTCCATGGCAAACATTTTCATTTTTTCTTTAAAGCTCAGCTTTTCTGGCACAGCTCCCATTTGTGAATTCTGTTGTTTTTGCTTTTCAGCCAAGCGCTTTTGTCTTGGATCTCTAAATTAAACATAAAAAACGATTTGATTAGACAAGAGAATTTTATTTTTTGTTAAGTAATTTTTCTCATTTTTTTCCTTCTCAGAAAGAAAAATTATTCAAGATTGCCACAAAAATTTATTTATTATTATTATTATTATTTCCAGACAAAATTATTACTTATTCCCTGACCCTAAAGAATACTTTAATCCTTCCTTCCTTAGGAATTAAGATTTTCAAAAATTTCAAATTCAAATATTATTTTCTACAATTTTTAACTAAAATTCTTCTTTAGATAAATTATTTTTAATAATTTTTGAAAAAGTTTTTTTTTGAGAATTTCCAAATCCATTTGTTTTTTTATTTAATTTTACGAGAAATTTCGATTATTATGAAGTTCTTCAATTAGCAAAAATATAATAAATCTTTATTAAAATATATATATTAGAAAATAAAAACTTCAACCAATTTAAAAAAAATCCAAATCTCATGAAGAATTTTATCAACGAATTTTTATAACCAATTTTAATAAAATTTTTCAGAATAATTACATTTTTCGGGAAATTTGATTAAAACTGTATTAAAAATAATTTAAATTCTGCGATAAGTTTTAATACTTATGAAAATAATTGAATTCATGTGAAATTTTTATTATTTATGAAATTAATTAAATGTTTGCGTCCAATTTTATTAAAATTCTTTTGAAAAATTTTATAAACAAATTTTTAAATAATTGAATTCTTTTGACAAATTTTATTCAAATTTTTTAGAATAATTACACTTTTTAAGGAATTCAATTAAAATTGTATTAACAATATTGAATTCCTAAAAGGAATTTTATTGTTTATGAACATAATTAAATCTCTGTAAAAATGTATAATTTATGAAAATAATTGAATTATAGCAAAGAATTTTATAAAAAAATTTTAAACAATTGATTCTTTTCGAAAAAATTTATGCAAATTCAATTTTAAAGAATAGAATTCCTGTGCAATTTTTATTATTTTAAAAAATAATTTAATGTAATTGAAATTTTTACCATGAATTTTATTAAAATTTATGAAAATAATTGAATTTTGCAATGAGTTTTATTAAAATTCCTGAATATAAGTAACATCTTTCGAGAAATTTTATTAAAATTGTATTGAAAATAATTAAATTCCTGATCAGATTTTTCATATTTATGAATATAATTGAATCCCTACGAAGAATTTTATTTATAATCATATAAAAATTATTTAACTGTTCGAGAAATTTTGTTAAAATTTTTCTGAAAATAATTGAATTCTGCAGCAAAAATTTATTATTTATGAAAACAATTGGAATTCTTGTAAAGAATTTTATTAGACTCATTGAAAATAATTGAATTTCTGTGCAGAATTTTAATATTTATGAAAACAATTGAATTCTTGCGAAGAATTTTATTACTTTTGAAAATAATTGAATTTTTGCAAACACTTCTAACTTCTTCAAAATTCAATTTTTTTAGTTTATTTGATTAAAATTCTCTATAAATCTATTATTTTTTAATAATTAATTAAATATCTATTAAAAAATTTAACTAATTTTAGAAGAAGTGGAATTATTAAAATTTTTAAAAAATCTAAGTTCTTAAAAATTGATGATTAAATTCATTAAAAACATGAAATTTTCTAAAATGTCAAATTGAAACCTATTTCAATTAATTTTGAAATATTTGAGTAAAATTATTCATTAAATAATTTCTAAGTAATAATTTTATTATAGTTGTTGAGGAATAAAGTTATTTAAAAGAAATTATTGTGAGAAATAGAAAGAATTGAAAGTTTTGTATTAGAATTCGTGGTAATTTCATAGTTTATGAGTCAAACAAAAAAGACACAAAAATTCCGAATTTTCTTATGAATTCTAAAAATTTAATTTTTTACAGTCCTTTTAATAAAAATTCCTGACTTTTCGCTGAATTTCCTGACTTGTGGCAACCGCAACCCTGTGATTGAAATACGAAAATTTAACTTACTTGTAAACTTCTTGAGCGCCAATCACGCCCGGTGTGGCTGCTGAAAAAATACCACCTGGACCTTCTGGTGTTTTAGGAGAAGCAAGAAGAGTTTCTGCATCGTTTATGAAATTCTGAAAACAACAAAAATTCAAAAATTACTAACAGTACAATTATTTTTGTTTAATTTTTAACTTTCCTTTCCTTTCTCTTTTTAAATAAAAAACAAACAGCTAATTTTTACACAACTAATTTCAATATCAAAAACACACAACAATTTTTACAATAATAAAAGTCCAGGGTGTCTGCTATTTTAGGTTAAACCTGTTTCTTTCTTCCACGTTAAAGAAGCTAGTATGCTTCTTCTTTTCCGAAGAAATTGTTTTTTATCAGTAGGTAATACAAAGAAATTAATAAAAAAAAAATTAAATTGATATTCGGCAAAAACTGCTCGACTATTTTAACTACTTTTCACAAGTTTCCCATTTAGTAAACACCCTAAAAAACTCTAGTCAATAATTTTTGTCTCTAGTCTCTAGTCAAATTTCTGAAAAAAATTGTCTTATTTTGGAATCAATTCCAAATAACATTAAACAACAATCACACAGTAATTTAAAAACAACGATAATAATTAATCGCATGATTGAATATAATCATGATGATGACAATGCTGATGACAATGCCGCTGATAATTATGACGATGATTATGATTATGATGTTTGAAGACATAAATTTTACTATATGAATAAAAATTAACTGTTATAAAAAATTGTTATTAAACCATGCAGTTAGAATTTTTGAAAACGTCTTAAAACCAACAGGCATTGTGACTTGAAAAATATACCTTATTTCGATACCTGCCAATGTGTGCGTTATAAAGAAATATTCAGTTTTCTTTTAATATAATTATCACTAATATCTAAATGTTTAAATTAAAAAATATAAATAAATAAAATCAAAATATAAAATTTTAATTTTGAATAAAAAAATATCCGGCATTAGATATTTATCGCAAATTTAAAAAAATTACGACAAACTTTCTTATTTTAAACCAAGTTTAAATGTGCAAAAAACTCTAAATTTTTAATTTTGCAATGACTTGTCAATGAAAAAAAATTTTTTTAATTCAAAAAATTTCGGACATTTTTATAATCTAAAACACTGTTAATACTATGAAAAATAATAATAAGGTAGATAAACTATACAAATTAATTAATAGTTTAATTAAATTGGTATAAAGAGTATTTATTTAAACTGTATGAACCTAAAGTTCCGAGCGTTCAAATGAATAAAATTTATTTATTTCTTTTTTAAATTAAATTTTTATTACAATAATTTTGCATCGCTGTTAAAATAGTATATTTCGTAACGAGTGCGAGCAGTTGCCAATTTTTGAACAAGCACTTTTTTTGGAACAAACTGTAGGCTACAGTTTGTTCCAAAAAAAGTGCTCGTTCGAAAATTGGCAACTGCTAGCACTAGTTACAAACGATATTTTTCATAACAAGGTGCAAAAAAGTGCCCTTTTAAGCACCGCGGTATGAAAAAATTAATTATAGTTTCTAAATGTGAAATTTTATTTTTTTAATTTATATTTCGATCAGTAATTTATGAAAATATTTTAAATAAAAAATATTTCGTTTATTTGAACGTTAAAAACTTGTGGATCATTAAACTATTAATTATTAATTATATCTATTTGATCGACTATTGGTTCCGATCGAGTATAGGCGTCGTTACCTTAAGGGGACATTCCAGTTCAAAACAGGCAAAAAGAAGGCTTTTTTAGTATATATTATTAAAATAACTATGACATTTATTTAAAAAATTTCTTTTACATGTAATAAATAATTTATTTAAGAAATTGTAAAAATTTTTTTTTTTCATGTTTATTTCAAAATGGCGGCGATATACGCCATTTTCGAAAATGCCCATTTTTGGTGGTAAGATCGATTCCAAACTTTCTATAAGAGATAAAACCAAAAACGAAGTGACATTCTCTTCGTTAGATATTTCTTTCGGTGTGGAACCTCAAAAAAGTGGAATTTTCTTCCCCCCCTTTTTTTAGAGTACTTTTTCCCCAAAATATGCAAAAAAAAGGTGTTTTTATTCAGAATTTCTCTTATAAAATAAAGAGAGTTGGAAATTTTCCAGTTTTTGAGGTTTCACTTATAGGCATGATGACGCTGAATCAAAAGCCGTTTGATTTTTTAAAATCGCTTCAGAAGAACTCGAGATATCACTCTTACCAGACCAAAAAAAGACATTTTGAGAAAAACGCATTTTAAGTTTTTGTTCATAAGTTTCGAAATTTTTTTTAAAAAATCATCGGATTTGCTTGAAAATCGTTACTCGGGGGTTTTTGAGGTCGCTAATTACGAATATTGAATCAGATTTTTAAAATTTTAAATGGCGGATCCAATATGGCGGACATTCTTTTTTTAAAATCATTGGATTTGCTTGAAAATCGTTACGGGGGGGTTTTGGGGTCGCTGATTACGAATATGACATAATTTTTTTAAAATTAAAAATGGCGGATCCAATATGGCGGACGAAAAAAAAATTAAAATAAAAAAATTTTCTTTTCCGCCATGTTGGATCCGCCATTTTGAATTTTGAAAATTTGATATATAATTTGTGATCAGCAACACCAAATACATTTTTGTTTGTCTTTTTTAAAAATTGCAAATGAGAAAACATTTAAATCATTCGATTGCTTATCCGCATACAAAAACATCTTTGACATGGCAAAGAATAAGGATGTATAACTTTTGTTTTACTTTAAATTTTGCAATAATATTTTAGGAGAGTATTCTTGACACTATAAGAAATCCGAAAATAAAAACAAAAAAAAATCGATTTTTTTGAAATTTTGAACTGGAATGTCCCCTTAATTATTTTTTATAGAGCTTTAGAAATTGAGAAAATTGGCAATTTTTAAAAGTAATGAATTAAAAAATAATTGCACTTACATTTGGATCTTCTCGAATAGTATCCATGGTTAATGAAGTATTGCTCGTCGATCCAGTCATATTGCGCGTAGTAGTTTCGGTGTTGGCATTTGGATCGTGGAAAGAAACACGTTTCGTTGTTGCTTGATGTGAACCAATTGGCGTGTTAGAAGTTGTTGAATTATTCGATCTTAAAGCACTCTGCTGTGACATTATTGCATAACTCGATCCTCTTTCTGGCGGAGGAGGAGGAGCTTCACTACTTCCATTTTGAGAAGCTGGAAAACAAATAAATGAAAAATGTATATTCGTAACTCATAGATAAGAAATTAATAAATACAATAAATGAAACGCTTTCCGGTAAAAAATTTTCAAAATTAACTATATAATTTTCTTGCATAGAGACCCATTCAAAGAAAAGCGTCAAAACATTTATTATTATTATTATCATTATTACAAGAATTTTTCTTTTTAAATATCAACCACAATTTTTGAATAATTTCAGAATCATAATTTTTAAAAATTCACTTATTAATTAACTAGCAAAGTCCTACGCGCGCGTGAATGATTTAAAGAATTATCACGGTAGCAATCTGCCTACCTGCTTTCCACAGAAAAAATTTAATAATTTCAATTTATATTCTTGCATGTTTAGGTTTACAATAGTTATGATTTTTTAAAAAATCTCGGTATTTCAACTATATTATCATTTCCACGCCTCAGAAGCCATTTAAAAAAATTTGCAAGAAGGAAATTATAATTTAGTTTAAATACCGAGATTTTTAGAAAATCCTCGAAAATTCAAAATTACTACTTTTCTTGCCTTGGATCCTTTTGCGATTTTTTAATGGCTTCTGTTATTAAAATAAATATAATTACCAAGTGAAAAAACATGCCTCTACTCAACTCAAGTTTCAAATGTAATTTTTATACATGTAATTTTCTCATGAAATCCCTCAAACATTTTTTAAGCTCATATAAATGTAATAAAATTCAAACTCAAAAGATTTAAATTATAATTTCTGCAAATATTTTAATTTTCATTCTTATGTTTCTAATAATGGTTGGCGTATAGTTTTTCTAAATCGTATTTTCTAAAAAAAAAATTTTTCTAATAAAGGGGAATTTCTAAAAAACTTTTCTCTAATAAAGGTGATTTTGCAGTTTTCTGTCTTCTAATAAAGCTAATTTTCTAAAGATTTATTTTTCTAATAAAGGTAATTTTCAAAATTTTTCTTTTTTCTAACAATATTCTATTTTTGTAATCACGATCAATAAGTACATATGATTAAAAAATAAAATTTACGAAAATTTGTTAATTCTTTAAGAAAATACTTAATATTTCGTTAAAAAATTATAATAAAAAATAGAAATTATGCAAATTACTTAACAAAATTTTTAAATAATCTAGTTAAAAATCGTAATTAACAAATTATAGGGATTTTTTCCCTAAAGATATTTAAAATTTTCTAAAAAAATTTTTTATAAATATATTAACTTTGGAAATTTAAATGTAAAAATGATGCAAATGATTTTTTTTTCAAAGAAGAATAGAATTTTGTTAACAAATTGTGATAAGAAATAGTAATTTTATAAAAATTTTTCTTCATTTTCAAAAACAAACTTATAATTTTGTAAACAGAATTGTAATTGAGAAACAGAAAATTTAATCTTTATTTTTAAACAATTTTCTAATTTTTATCAAAATTATGGAATTTTAGAAATTTTAGGAAAATAAACATGGGAAATTATAACTTTTTATAAAAACTTTTTTCAGAAAACAGATTTAATTAGAAATCGCCTTTTTAGACAAAAAGGTGTAGAAAATACTTTTTTTAAAAATAGTGTTCGCCTACCCTAATAATTGTTAGTATTCATCCGAAAAATATATTGAAAACATTGAAATGTTGATAATTGAAGGAAAGAAATGTTTAATAGAATTTATAAGCATTATTTTTTCTGAAATAAATAAAGTACCCGATTCTGCGTAACCGGAATGGCAAGAGTATCAAAAAATGTAAAAAATGCGGAATTTTTTTTGAAGTTTATTGAATTATCATTTTATAGGAGACTGAATTTACCAAAAGAAATAAAAATTCTGAAGATTTAATTGAAAAACACTATTTTAATCTAAAAAACATACTAAATATTTAAGTGTCTTTAATCAATTTATTTTTGTCAAACAAAAGTGGCAAATAAAATTCAGTTCACTAATTGAATAATATTGTAAACAAAATTGTTCGATGTTAGAATTTAAATTTTTTATCAATACCAAGTTTGAGAATTTCATTAAATTTATAAGAATTAACAAAATAATAGAGAATTCTTGAAAAAATTACATGTATTTACTATTTTTAACATCAGTTGAATAGATCCACGTCTTGATAATTTTTCTTCAATTTGTAAAAAAATTTCTTTGCATCAAGTGGTTATCACACATATGGGAATACTCATAACCAAAATTTCTATCAAAACATTAATTACTATAGAAAAACAAAAGACGACACTTTCTGTTCACGGAATAGCAAATTATTATTATGTATATATGTATTAATATTAATATTAATTATTATATATTAGTTTAAAAAATTTTGATAAAATTCTTTCCAATAATTCAAATATTCATTTATTAATTACAAAAATTTTAATAAAATTCTTAGCAAGAATTCAATTATTTAAAAAAAATCTTAATAAAATACCTCGCAATCATTTAATTATTATCATAAATATAGAAAATTTTTAGCAGGAATTCAATTATTTTTATCATCATAAATAATAAAATTCTTCTCAAAAATTCAATTATATTCTAAAATTTTAATAAATTTTTTCAAAGGAATTCATTTATTTTCAATTCTTTAATAACAAAATTCTGCACAGAATTACTTTCAAAACAATTTTAATAAAATTGTTTGAAAGAATTTAATTATTTCCAACAATTCTAATAAAATTCTTTGCAGGAATTAAAAAATTCTGCACAAGATTTTCCGCCGAAAAATTTTATTATTTTTTAAAATAATTGAATTGTTACGAAAAATTTTACTAAATTTTTTTAGAATAATTGTGTGATGAATTTATTTGAATTTTTTTGAAGACAATAGTATTTTTAACCCCTTAACTGTTTGAGGAAAATACAACATGATTGTCCCAAAATGCCCAGCGGAACCTGATACTTTTTCGAATAGTATAATATAATTAAATTATAACTAAATATTCAATTATTGTAAAAAATATCATTAATGACCCTTATAATGTCTTACAATATTGATATAAAGAAAAATATCTATCAATTTATATACAAATTATATTTATTTTGAGTGAAAATGAATACGACCCACCTAGTTATGGCCAAACTTTTTCACGACCCACCCGTGGGTCGGAAACAGGCAACGGGTTAATAATTTTAATTTGAAAATTTTCTAAGTATGTAATTATATTTCATGAAAAATTGCTTTCAGGTTTTTAAAATAATCGTGTTCGTTTATAATTGTAACTGAAATTAGATTATGGAATTTTATTAACATTTTTAGAAAATAATTGAATTCCTACCAAAATTTTATTAGTTTTTGAAAATAATTGAATTCATGCGAAGAATTTTCTTACTTGTGAGAATAATTTAATTCTTTCTGGAAATTTACTAAAACTAATTGAATTCCTGCGAAGAATTTTATTATTTATGAAAATAATTGATTTCCAGCGAAGAATTTTATTATTTAGGAAAGTAATTGAATTCTTTCAAGATATTTATTAAGAATAATTGAATCCCTGCGAAAAATGTTATTATGTATCTACAAAGATAATTGAATTCTAGCCAAGAATTTTATTATTTATGAAAATAATTGAAATCTTTCTAGATATTTTATAAAAATATTGAAAATAATTGAATCCCAGTGAAGAATTTTATGAAAAAAGTTTTAAGTAATTGTATTCTTTCTAGAAATTTATTAAAAATAATTGAATCCCTACAAAAAATTTGATAATTTATGAAAATAATTGAAATTTTTGTGTTCAGGTAAAACTTTTTCATTTTTAAATAATTAATCAAGCAAGAAACTATGTAAAACATCTTCTAAACAAAAATTTATATAAAAAGTTGAACAGAAAAATATTGATAAATGTAGGTGTACATTCTAAATATTGAATCTCTCTAATAATATATTTACTCACAAGGAGAATTAGGACCGTTAATCACAAGATTATCCAATCTCAACATTCCTGGATGTAAATTAGGATCTCTTCTTAAATTCGTCTGCTGCTGCTGTTGTTGTTGTTGATGTTGTTGTTGATAAAGTTGCTGCATCTGATGTTGATGAATTTGCAATTGTTGCTGTTGTCTAATTTCCTCCTCTCTTTTCTTCTGATTTTCATCAAACTCGTTTTGCTTTCTCTTCAAATCGTCTATCCTCCGTTGTCGTTCACGTTCTTCATTCTGTGTTGTACCAATAATCGTTGGTTTCTGACTAGTTGCGATTTGATTTAAAGCCGAGCCATAAGTTGGAGACAGAGGTTGTTGTGTATTGAGATTTTGATTTTGATTATGAAGATTTGTATTTTCATTGGAACCTCCATAGGAATTGACGGCAACTTGTAAACCCTGATGGCTAATTGCTGTGTGCATGGGGACATTTGTCGATTGCAATTGGCTGCCAACTGATTGTGGCGAGAGGACACCTCTTATTGATTGATTATTTGTATTTGTTCGCGATAGAGTTTGTTGTTGATTTGCTTGATTTGTTCGATCTTGAGTTGCTGCCATTCGCAAGAGACCTTGTACCCGTTGGACACTTTCGTTTTCAACTTCGTTGCTCTCGTCATCGTCGTCTTGTTGATTTGCAACTTCTTCGGCGCGCTTCTGAAAATCTCTTTCAAGTTGCAGAGCTCGCACTTGCTCCTCCTGCTGTGGTGTTCGATGAGGCAGGGCCGTTAACTCGGCGATTTGTTGATCTCGCCATTGTCGCGCTGCCTCTCTTCTTCTCGCTTGTTCCTAAAATAAAAAACAAAATTTATTTTAATAATCATATTAAAATACTTTATTATCAATAACAAATTCAATTTTTCAATAATTTTAGATTCAAAATTTTAAATATTTAATTTATAATTATAATTTCACTTAATGTTAATTATTATTAATAATTATAATGAGTTAATAAGTCAAATTTTATAAAATTTTAATAACATTATTCGCAAGAATTCAATTAATTTTAAAAATAATTAATTTCTTCCCATGAACACAATAATTTTCAATACAATTTTATTAAAAAATTTTTGAATCGATTCAACTATTTTAACCCTCCGTCACACACCTAGGGAGGGATTCCCTCTACGGTTTCAGTATTTTTTAAATAACTTTTGTTTTCCTCATTGCAAAATAAAATCAGTTTCTATAGGTACCTTTCGACAATTTACTCCTCAACACATTTCTAAAAAAACATTTAGTTTAAACATATAATTAATATTTAATTATGAAGCTTCAAAGCCAGAAAAGACTCGAAAAAGTGAGGTTATGTTAAATAAAAAAATCAAGTTTTCAAAACATTTTTTGTTCCACTGTTGGTTAATGACAAAATTATATTATAAATATAATTAAAATGAATTGTTTAATGATTTTTTTGCTTATTTGTTAATGTTACATTATTTTTACATGTCAAGTGGAATTCCTTCGAAGATGTGCATTCGTGTAATTAATTTTTATTTTTGAGACCGAAAATTAATTTTAGGGTAAGAATTCCTGAAGTGGGCCCCTATTTTTCATTAGGTCGGTGGATTTTTCTCATTCTTATATGTTTCGATAGCCTATGATGGTATAATAAAAACCTGTAAATAGTTTTCCGAAATTCGAATATTTACCAAAGTTATTCAAGGTCAAAGTAATTTGTAGCGTTTTAGTAAATAGCTAATTACTCGCGATCGGATAAACCGATTTTAATAAAAATTGGAGGAGAGTTTACCTAAAGAATTGTACTTTAGATAAATGATCAAAATTTTAATTAAAAAATATAATTTGATTAAATAAATTAACTTTTTAATTTTTGGGGTTAAAAAAAAATTAGTTCTCCATATTTTTTTTTGATTTTTTTTTAATAATCAAATAGAGAATACTTTTAAGATTTTATTTCAACAATAAAAAAGTGGGATTCTCTATCACTTTAGAAAATATAATATTTTTAGTTACAAAATTTTTTGAAAAGTTAAAGAAATTTGAAGCAAAACAAATGAACGAATTCAACTTGGTTGGTTAAAATTGTCGAGTTTAATTCGTTCATTTGTTTTGCTTCAAATTTCTTTAACTTTTCAAAAAATTTTGTACCTAAAAATATTATATTTTCTAAAGTAATAGAGAATCCCACTTTTTTATTGTTGAAATAAAATCTTAAAAGTATTCTCTATTTGATTATTAAAAAAAAATCAAAAAAAAATATGGAGAACTAATTTTTTTTTAACCCCAAAAATTAAAAAGTTAATTTATTTAAACAAATTATATTTTTTAATTAAAATTTTGATCATTTATCTAAAGTACAATTCTTTAGGTAAACTCTCCTCCAATTTTTATTAAAATCGGTTTATCCGATCGCGAGTAATTAGCTATTTACTAAAACGCTACAAATTACTTTGACCTTGAATAACTTTGGTAAATATTCGAATTTCGGAAAACTATTTACAGGTTTTTATTATACCATCATAGGCTATCGAAACATATAAGAATGAGAAAAATCCACCGACCTAATGAAAAATAGGGGCCCACTTCAGGAATTCTTACCCTTTATTAATTTTATAATTTAGAATAATTTACTACATATTTGTAAGTTTGTGTTAAAACTAAATTTTTGTTGATTCCTTTGTTTATGTTGTAATGTTGCTTATTTTACAATGTGGTGAGGGATTCCCTCTAAACGTGTGTAAAGTCGTAATTTTTTCTCATGTGTGTGACGGAGGGTTAAAAAATTTTAATACGATTTTCTGAAAGAATTCAATTATTTTTAAAAAATTTTATAAAATTCTTTGCAAGAATTCAATTACTTTCAGAATTTTTTATTATAATTTTTAAAAAAACTAATATTTTCAAAAAATCAAAAAAATTATTCAAATTAATTCAATTATTTCCAATGAAATTTTAATAATATTTTTCGAAAGAATTTAATTATTCTCTACAATTTTTTATTAATTTCATAAAAAAACTTATAAGAAATTCTTCGTAAAATTCAATTGGTTTCAAAATTTTCAATTAAAATTATGAGAGATTTTTCAGATCAACTCAATTGTTTTGAAAAACTTTAATAAAATTTAATTCGCAAGAATTTCAATTATTTTCATAAGTAATAAAATTTTGCACTAGGATTCAATTAGTTTTCGTAAATAATATAATTGTTTGAAGAAATTAAATTATTTTCAATACAATTTTCAAAAAATTTCTAAGAAATTCTTCAGAAGAATTTAATTATTTTTAATCAAATTTTAATAAAAGTTCTCGAAAAAATTTAATTAATTTCAAAAAATGTAATAAAAAAGTCCTTTGAAAAGATTTAATGTTTATCAATAATTTAAATAACATTACAAATGAAATTGTTAATTACAATTATTAACAAAATTGATTATATGAAAAAACTAAAGAAATGCATTGAAAGAAATCAAATTTTTGTTTATAAGAATTGAATTACATTCAATTAAATTATAATTAATTATCTCGAAAGAATTAAATTATTTTTGAAAACATAAAATTCTTCGAAGCAAATTAAATTACTTTAAAAAATTCTATCAAAATTCGACGCATGAATTAAATTGTTTCAGATTCAAAATTATGAAAGTTAAAAAAATTATAACACTTTTTGAACAAGAATGTTACGTCTTTTAAAATCAAAGTTAAAAAAAATTCTCTTATTTATTTTTCTTGCTAAAATGCTATCTCTGAATTAGTAAAAATTTGAACTAGAGCATAAGTGATAGGAAATTAAAGATGAATTTTTGTAATTTTCCATGGAACAAGACATTAAAATAAGTAAATTGCAGTTTGTGATTAAATTTGTCTATAATGAAACATTTTGAATCTACCTTTTCTCGTTCCTCCCTTTGCCATGGATTCGAAGCACTGAACTGATATTGTCTCGGCTGTTGAGTCGTTCCAGTAGTTGGATAATAACCGCCTTTCGGTGGATCTTGCATACTGGCCGTGTACCTCGTGTCCGACTGTTTATTGTACAGCGGATGTGTCGAGGTATTCGGCGGAGGTGGCGGAGGACTCTCCCGAAAACCATCCTCCGGAAGCATGGGCCTCGAAGGTGGATTCTCCATTCCCAAAATAGCGCCCTCGCCATTCTGATTTCGATTTATAATTCCCTCGCCAGAATACTGATCGTTTCTCAATTCAGTCTGTCCATTCGGATAGGAACCGCCGTTCTGTGAATATTGTCGTTGCTCGACGAATTGTCGCATGGCAGGATCCTGAGGCATGTCATTCTTCCCCTTTGGCAACATGCCATACTGACTGTGCATCGGATGCTTGGCAAACTGATTTTGATTGTACTGCATGTCATTGTATCCGTAACCTGGTGGCAATTGTCGAGCGCCGTAAGTTGGAGAGGTTGGACCTAAATTTGGAGTTGAGCCGACGGGTCGTGATTGACGAATGGAATTTGCCGTTTGTGGTGCGATCATTGGTCGCACGTTGTAATTGGGTCGATAGTTGTTGGAAATTGGAGGACCACCGCGTAATTCGCGTCTTCTTACTTCCTCTTGCATTTCTTGAAGTTTCGCTTCTTGTCTTATTATATCACGAGACGATTGAGATCTGGGTGGAAGTCCTTGATGTTGTCCTTGATTAGTCACGTAGGATTGCTGCTGGCCTTGTGGAATGTAGGCGGATATTGGTCTGTCTCTCGATTGATTCAGGTCCAATCCTGGTCGATTTAGAGAACTTTGGGAACCTCTCAAGTTCTTTTGTGTATGCAGCGAACTTCTAAAAGAATTTTATATTTCATTTTTCCACATCAAATTCTCTTTGCATTTAAATTCGAAAATGAATATTAAAAACTAGCAAATAATACGCGATGATTGATTTATTTTTATTACGCAAATTGTAAATTATTTTATTTTTAAATATTAACTTCAATTATTAAATGATTTCATGGTTTAAAATTTTCTAAAATAATAAAATCTTTTCAAGAATTCAATTAATTTCAAAAATAATACAATTCTTCGCAGAAATTAAATTATTTTAATTAGTAAGAAAATTCTTCACAAGAATCCAACTATTTTTGTAAATAAAAAAATTCTTCACAAGAATTCAATTATTTTTTTAAATAACAAAATACTTCACAAGCATTATTGAATTATTCCTGTAAACAATAAAGTTCTTCACAAGAATTTAATTCTTCTCATAAATAATAAGATTTTTCGGAAAAATTCAATTATTGTAAAATATTTAATAAAATGTTTTGCAAGAAATCAATTCATTTAAAAATAATACAATTCTTCGCAGAAATTTAATTATTTTAATTAGTAAGGAAATTCCTCACAGTAATTCAACTATTTCAATAGAATTTTAATAAAATTTTTCACAAGAATCTAACTATTTTTGTAAATAAAAAAATTCTTCACAAGAATTCAATTATTTTCAAAAATATTAATAAAATTCTACTCAGGACATCAATTATTTAAAAATATTTTATAACGTTTTTTGCAAGAATTCATTTATTTTTTTCCAATTCTTCGAAGAAATTTAATTATTTTAATAAGTAAGAAAATTCTACGCAGGAATTGACTTTTTCAATAGAATTATAATAAAATTCTTTACAAAAATACAATTATTTTCATTAATAATACAATTCTGTGCAGAAATTTTATTATTTTTAATGCAATGTTAATAAAATTTTTCTAAAGAATTGAATTTTTTAAATTTGTATAAAATTCTCTAAAAGAATTCATTTATTTTAAAAATTAAGATACAATTCTTTATAATAATTTCACTATTTTCAAACAATTTGAATAAAATTTCTTGAAAGAATTCAATTATTTTCATAAATAATATGATTTTTGGACGAATTTACTCATTTTCAATCAAATCTAATAAAATTTCTGGATGAAATTTAATTCTGATTAAAATTTGTTATAAAATTCTTAAAAAAAAAATTAATTATTTCTGAAAATTTGAATATAATTCTTTAAAATGGCTAAAATATTTTCAGTACATTATTAATTAAATTCCCTCAGAAGAGTTTAAAATTTTGGCAGGACTTCAATTATTTCCAATAAAATTTTAATAAAATTTTGTAAAAAGAATTCAATTATTTTCAGTATAATTTTAATGAAATTTGTTTATAAAATACAATTATTTAAAAAATTTTAAAAGAAAATTCTTTAAAACAGTTTAAATAAAATTTCACGAAAGAATAAATTGAATTATTTGTATAAGTTATAAAATTCTTCGAAGGAATTCAATTTTTTTAAAATTTTAATAAAATTCCTTGAAAGAATTATATTATTCTCAAAAATTAAAAAAAAATTCTATGCAAGAATTGAATTATTATTTAAGATTCATAATTATGAAAGTTAAAAAAATTATAATACTTTTTAAACAAAAATGCCATCTTTTAAAATTGAAAAAATCTACTTATTAACGCAAAATTATGGAAAATAATATTTATTTATAAATTTTTCTAGTGAAAATATTTCTATAAAGTTTACTCTTTGAATAAGTAAATAATAAATCTGAATTAATAAAAATGTGATCAAAATTTCTTAAAATTAATTTTTCAATTTTACATAAAACTAATTTTTAACTGTGAATCAGTCATCAGGAATACAACAATTATTAATATAGATTTTCTCAGTCACCTGTCATCCAAAGGTTGAGGAGGACTCGGTTGTTGTTTTACAGTCGAATCCTGATTTCGATAAACACTTAAATTTTGATAGAATCTCTCAGCCTCGTTCCCTTGTAAATTATTCTGAGGATGCATCTGGCTTGGAGTTAGATTAGGAGATGATTGTTGCCTGCTGACTAATCCTGACGGAGGTAAAGTGCCAATTCTCATTGGATCGTGGAGATTATGACTTGACCTGGCGGATAAAAATAAAAAACGATTTTTAAAAAATGAACAAAAATTTCCCAAAAAAATGTTGAAGAGTGTGCACAAATTAAAAAAAATGTTAAAAAGTGAAAAAAACTTCCAAAAATATTTTAAAAAGTGAAAAAAAAAATTCCAAAAAGATTTAGAAAAACGAGAAAATTATCCTTACCTGGATCGTAAGGAAGATGCTCCATTCATTGCTGGCATTGGCGGCGGTTGAACTGGTGGAGTAACACTATTACTGGAAGATGCTCTACTATACCCGGCGCTGAAGACTTCATGTTGCTGTTTTCCCTCCGTTCCTACATCTGTAAACAAAAATCCAATTAACATCTCTCAAAAAGACCAAAAGCAACAAATTTTCTCTTTTTCAACTAACATTAAAAATTACTATAAAAAAATATTAAAATTTATATTTTTTTTATAATAAAATTTTTAATATCTAGCAAAAAGAATTTTTTTTTCTAATTAATATATACAAATATTTCTAATTAATAAATCAATAATATTAAATTTCCTATTTTTCCAAGATAACAAAATTTTTAATATCTATTCAAAAAAAATTTTTTCTAATTGTGAAAAACATTGTCAGACGTATAAAATATAAGAATGCGAAATTAAAAAAAATTATGCAAAACAGCATCTATTTAATTTTTATTAGAAAACACAAAGAGCTGAGAATGAGAAAGAAGACAAAAGACAGTGAACATAATATAAGAAATTATGAACGTATGAATAATGAAGAATGGAATATAAAAATTGCATATAAAAGAAGAATGATTATTTTTTTGTTGATGGGTTTTGAAATTAATCTACTTACTATGCAGGGCTGGGACAGACTTGCTGCTGTGAATTTGTTGGGGAGTCGGATCATGTCCTAGACGTGATGGCAAATCACGTTCACTCATGCGTCTGGGTCCTGTAGAAGCACATGATGCACAAAAAATGCTTTTAGTTAATGCTTTAACATGCCATAAGCAAATTATTGTTAAACACGTATCGTGCAAACATGCCTGATTTCACGTGTTAATCTAATATTCAAAAAAATATTAAAAAGAAATAGCTTGTGAGAAATATAAAAAAAACAAAATATAAAAAAAAATAAAAATAAAGTAGTAAAATAATTAAATCAACGATTATTTCGAGTCAAGAATTCGGAGTGATAGTTGACTTTATTATTTTACTATTCTGATGACCGAGTGATAACATTATTATTATTTACATACAAATAAAATAATTTAAACAAAATAACAAAATAAATATAAATTAAATTATTTAGACGAAATATTAAAATAAAAACAAGTAAAATAATTTAGTAATTAGTTCATTACTAATCAGTTAACTATTAAACATTTGCTATTAATAATAATAAAATAGTAAAAAAATATTAATAAAATATTACTGTTTAATAAATTAACGTACGATAAAATTAAAAGTAATTTATTGAAATACAATATGAATACTATCATGTAAAGGAATAATATGGTGTTTAGAGGAAAATTACAAAGAAGAAAGGGAAAGAAGGATCGGTATTCTGTACATTCTTTAAAAATATAAGAAAAATTAAATGTTAATTAATAATTAATAAATAATTAATTAACATGCAAGAACTGAAAATGTACTAATTGATGAACTTGGTAAATTATACATTCACAAAAATGAATGAATGATAATAAGAGAAATTGAGTAAATTGTTAAATATTTGCAATTGTGCAAAGCAGTGTCTTAAAGAAATTAGAAATGAAATAAATAGAAAAAATATATTAGTATTAATTAACTAAATGGGTACCTATTAAACAGTATAAAAAATGTCTAATGTAATGCAACTAGAGTGTAATAATTTGAAGACATAAAATTAATCTAATCATAAATGTGATAAATTGAGTTAGAAACATTATTCTTTCGATTATTTTTCAATTTGTAATATTCGCAAATTGAAAAATAAATTTAATTTAAAAATTTGATTTTCTGAGTTATGTTTCTTTCATCAATCCTGATTTGATTTGCACAAATATACAAACATAATAATAGTAACAATTAAAAGATAAAAATAAATATTTTCATTTAACAGAATTGCCACAAAAATTTGTAATTTTCTTTTTCCCTGATTTCCAGACTGAATTTTGACTGTTTCTCTGACTCCTATAAAAACGATTTCAATGCGGGAGTTGAATTAGAAAAAAAGATAATTTTTAGAAGCATAAAATTGATTGAAAACTTTACTGATGTTTATCTGATGTTAAAAACAAAAATTAACTACTGTCGCTAAATTCCCTCGATTATTTTCTAGAATTTCAATAATATTCTTTTTAAAATTCTATTAAAAATAATTTAAATATGTTTTCTATGAAGAATTTTATTAAAATAATTGAATTATTTAGAAACAATTTTATTAAAAATTTTGGAAACAATTAAATTAGTTTGAAGAATTCATTTAAAATTGCATTGAAAATAATTGAATTCTTGGAAAAAATTTCATTAAATATTTGAAAATAATTGAATTCTTTCGAGAAATTACATTAAACATAATTGAATTCTTGCAAAGAATTTCAATATTTTTGAAAATAATTGAACGAGAAATGTTATGAACTATTTTTAAAGAATTGAATTCTTGAGCTGAATTTTATGAAATATTTAAAATTAATTGAATTTTTTGAAGAATTTTATTAAAAATTTTGAAAATAATATTTAATAGTACTTTATTTGTTAAACCCTAGTAATTCTGTGGTAATAAGTAATAACTATTGCATAATATTTATTATTTATATTAAATAATAAATATCATACAATAGTTAATATTTATATTAGATATTATTATTATAATTATATTAAATGTATTAATATTATGTGTGTATAAAGCTAAAACAGAAAAAGCAATCCAACGAACCTTTTAAAGCCAAAAAATAAAATAAAATGGACTTTCAATTGTGGGGAAAATTGAAAATTTCTCTTTGACGTGACGATTTTGAACTTGAACTGAACATAATGAAACAGGCAGAGTGTATTTAAACAACAAGACTCTTGCAATACATAATCCACCAGCTTACGCATTTCTGGATTAGTATCCAACGGTGGAAATTCTCGAAAGATCCAATCACCTCTTTCAAATCTCGGCGTTGGCATTCGTTCAGAAACATCTAAATCACTGTTTGCCTTTTCTTTAACAAACTTTTTTCTCGAATCACCATGAAATGAATTTTCATTTCTCTGATTATAATTTTCCAAAACCGACTTTATCGCCGCATGAGTTCCAATAAAAGAACACTTCTCCTTTCTCGGCTGTTGTAAAAAACTCCTTTTTCCCTTCATCGTCATATTCGGTATTTTCTCCAATGATTTACAAATTATTTTACTACTAACCAAATCTTTTTTCCTTCTACCCAATTCCTCGTGACTTTTCGATAAATTTTTCGTCCTTAAAAACGAATTCGGAAATTTTGTCTTACTCTCTATTTGAAAATTAACCTTTCTCTCTTTTCCGGAAGTCTCTGTCATTATATCTGTGTTTACAGTGTCCCCATTCACCGATAACGTACTGTGAATGTTCAAATTCTCGCCTTCGGAAATTGAATGAAACTGGAAAAAATTGACATCTTCGTTCGTGATTTCAGGCGCTGACACAACCCTCGAGCAGGTGGGGAAAATAAAATACTTCGGAGAATCATTGACTGTTGTATTCGAGTCTGTGTCGTCGAACATCAAGTCTTTCAGTGACCAATATTTCTCTAATTTATTTATTTTTTTCGGCATTTTCGGGGAAATGTTTAAACTACCGAGAACTGACGGCAGGGAATGTTGTCGAAAATTCTCCAGTCGCATCGTTCCAACAATTGAGTATTTCGGAATATTACTTGTCGATGAATCATTCGAATCCGTCATTGTCTCTTTGTCGGAATTCGAATTCGAACTTTTACATTTTTCTTTCGGAATAAAAAGCGGAGCGTCGACATTGTCTAGATTCGAAAACTCCTTCAATTGTTCAATTATATTCTCTTGTTCCTCAAGTGAGAGTTTCGATTCATTTTTTTGATTCATTTTCGATGAATTTTCCGAATCGATTTCTGTCGATTTCTCCCCTTTTTCTCGATTGATTTGATCGTTGAATTGAATGTCCAATAGTATCATGCTCCACTCCCTTTCCGGAGTGTTTGTCAAATTTTTATTATCTAATTTCGACAAATCGCTTTCGGATTTGAATTCCTTTTTCGATATTTTTTCCACTTGGTCGTGTAGAGCCACGTCCGGCTCGGACATAAATTGACGAGAACCGTTGAGTTTCATTGATTTCAATTTAATCAGACCGGATTCACCGAGTTTGGAGAAATGTTTTGCGAGTGCGGCCACTCGACCACAACCAAGACGAACTTCTTCGGGGGATTTCCAACATTTTTCGGGATTCGAATCCTCACTCGAAATATCACTGTTCAATCCACTGAGATCTAAATTCAGTTCCGGCATTATTGTATGCATTTTTGGAGTTGAAATTACTAAAACTTCGTCTTTAAAAACATCATCGTCATCATCAACAGGAATTTCTCTCTCACTCGAATTTTCCTTCTCATCTACTTTCGTTTCCTTGCCCTCTTTCTTAAAATTCGAGCAATCGGAACAAAAATCGTCAATTTGACTCTCCTCGGATTTATCGTCATCAATGTAGGGAATCGACTCCTCCTCCCTCTCATCGTCCAGGGAATCGACACTATCCTCAGAGGAATTTCTCGTGGGAAAAATTAATTCAGTCTTGTCGTCAGTATAATAACCATATGATGAATTTCTTGAAACTCTTACGGGATAAGGGGGATATGGTTCGCCATGGCTCGGAATTGTTAGGAACATTTGATTCGGCTCTTGAATAATAGGAATTTGCCGTTTGGTCCAATAATTCTTTGAATGACAACGATGGTAATCTTCGTTTGTTGGTAATTCATTAATTGGATAAATTGTCGGGAGATTTGAACTATTTGCACTTGAATTAACGAGATTAGACATTGATCTTGGGATTTGTAATAAATTTTGTGAAGAATGGAATGAAGAATAGGAGGGGTTTTGATAGAAATTTTGATACTGCGATTGTGTTACTTGAAGATTTGTCGCACCTGGTTGCATATGATCTAAATCCCAATCGACTAAACGCTCTTGATATCCCTGTTTTGGAACATTCAATAAATTGCCCATCGAATGAGATGTTGATGGTTGTGAAGATTTATCTGCCAGTCGGGAAGGTTCTAAATGTTCCGATTTTGGTCGTGCCTTATTAAGCTCTGTTAGAAACAATAGTTAGTTTTTAAAAGCATTAGTTGAAGCGAGATTTTTTTTAATTATTAGTCACATAGAATATTATGAGCAAGCAATACGGAAATTTGTTTTGAGAAAAAATGCATTTTAATAGCGTTTACTGTCATAACAAATGCAGAATGAAAAGTTTAATTAATTTGAAAAAAATGCAATGTAATTTGAAATTCTTTTTCAGTGGCGAGAAGACAATGGTATTGAAATTAAAGCATAAGCGAGTTTTTTTTCTTTTGTTTCTCTTTTGATTAACTTGTGGGGATTTTGATATAATTTTTTCTTTACTTACCTCTGGTCATAACAGGAGAAGGTTGAGAAAGCAAAGTAGCCAATCCGTGATAAATGGCACCCTGTTTAGCAACTTCCAGTGTTACAATTGGTCCCGTTCGCACAAGATACTCGGCAGCTCTGAAATATTTTTTATTTTATTTTAATCAATATTTAATAACTAGCGACATATTTTCCTTGTTAATAATTTAACTAAAACACCACAATTAGTTAATTAAAATCGAAACTGTAAAAAATATATGTATCTATTTTTTTATTAAAGTAACTAAAAGTAATAAACAAAGAGTAAAAATAGTGGTAAGTAAAAATAATAAAAAAATCAAACAGCTGCAACAGTACAAAATAATAAAAAATAAAATAATATTCCTGTTAATAAAATTATCGTTAACAAATAATCATTAACAATTTAAAAATATACTAACTTTTCTTGTGTAATTCCAACTAAACTTTGACCATCAACTTTTAATAATTGGTCACCTGCAGTTAATCTACCATCCTGAGAATAAAAAAGATATTTTATATATTAGTCGAAAATTCTAAAATAAAAATGTAAAATAAATTATAAGTATCTACCGTATCAGCAGCTCCGCCAGCAACGACACTCTTTATATAAATTCCCAGCCTATCTTGTCCAGCACCCTAAAAGAATAAACATTTCTATAGATTCATTTTTTTTTAAATTTGTTATATAAATTCAATTAAACCAAAGTATTAATCAATAATAATTAATACCAATTACCGGGCAAAAAAACAAGAAATTATTTCTATTCAAGAAAAAGGGGAATAGTGTACCTTTGCTGCAACTATACTGAGGCCCATTCCGTTCGTAGATTTATGAAGTTTGATAACCTGAACTTCCGGTTGTCCTTGATTCTGTCCGATATGAGAGAAATTTCCTGATCTGTTACTCATTGCGCTCGGACTTCGGAACTGTAAAGAAAAAAAGGATTTAATTATTTATTAACATTAGTGTTTAACATTACTGTAATTAATTTAAATTTTTTTTATAAATTTCTTCATTACAGTTCAATTATTTTTCATAGATACAATTTTAATTAAATTTCTCGAAAGGATTTAATACCTATGTTTAATAATAAAAATTATAATAAAATATTTTGGAAGAATTCAATTGTTTTCAAAAGAATTTTAATAAAATTTCCAGAAAGAATTTAATTATTTTTAAAAACTTTAATAACATTTTTCGCAGAAATTAATTTTTTTTAATCAATTTTCCGAAAAAATTCAATTATTTTCAAAGAAATTCATTTTTTCTAATAGAATTAAATTATTTTCATAAATAATAAAATTCTTTAAAACAATTTGATTATTTTCTAAAATTTTAATAAAATTCTCCAAATTTGAATTAGTCGAAAATTTGAACTAAGTAGAAAAAAATTGATATTTCTAAAAGTTAATGATTTTAATTCTACATAGAACAAGACATTAAAATAAATAAAATCCAGTTTTTTCTGACAAAATCAATAACAGAAACCATCTTTTGGGTTAATAGAAATGTTCTTTTTCTACCATAAAATTTATAAGTAACTATTTTTGTGTTTTAAAATGTTAATTTTATTTGGTTTAATTTTTCTTATTATTTAATCTTGAAAATATTAAATTTGAATTTTATTAATTTAAAATTTTTAAATATTTAAAAACAAAAAGAATGAGAAAAGAAGAAAGCAAACAAAGAAATTTAAAGAAATACGAACATTATTGTGATGGTCAATCATGTAAATAGTCCAGAAACCACTGCTGGTCAGTTGAGGAGCCATTCGACATAATCCGTCACGCTGAAGGGGTAATAAAAATTCCGCCAAACCAGGAGGCACGCCTCTAATCACCTCACAACTGTAACCATCCTCGGGTAGTAGCAAAGCTAAAGCCAAAGTTGGCTCCTCTTCTAAACGAATTTCTCTTCCATCTGCTCTCGCCAAAGTATCCGCTACACTCTCCGCCACCTATTTAATCAAATTAAATTCACTTTTACAAACATTCCTCTTCTCTTATAAACATGAAAATTCATATTCAAAAATATGATAACTTAATGTAATAATAAAAAATAAAAATTAATTTAAAAAAGATTAATAAAAATGCGTAAAATATACACTCACCCTAACTACGTTTTCGATTAATTCAGCAGGCAATCTCGGCTCATCGGGAGCAGGTTGATATTTTTGTAGAAGCGCTCTGACTTGTAGTGAATTAAGTTTAAAGCAAGTTGAACTTAATGTGGCTAATTCTTCAGCATTATATTTTGGAGCCTGAAGAAGATGTGTGGCTTGCATAATTGTTGCAAGATGACACTGACTTGCCAATTCAAGGCCCTGTCTCTCTGCCCACGTCTCGAGAGCATTTAATCTTGCCTTCAATCTACGACCAAACCATCTAACGCAAAGATTTCCATTTGAAACAAGTGCATTGAAGGCGGTTGCATTTATCGTATGGAAGAGATGGCTAAAGAGTTGAATTGTTAGTGCAGCATTCACTCGACAACGTCTCAAGAGTGCCATGGTGCTGAAAAATATTTGCAATACACCCGCTTCTTTTGCGGGCTCATCAGCGTCGGCCATAAATTGAACCATTGCCGGTGCCAATTCCAATGACACACACCGTACCAATGAGGCGAACGCAAAATGTACAGCTTCACCAAGAATTTCCTGCGCTCGAATTGAAAACGATGTGATGTGACGATCGCTCTTCAGCATGTGTAAAAGTTCTGATCCATTCGCCAGCCAAAGCGCCAGGGATAAAGCGTTCATGTACCGCTCCTGGAAAAAATTCAGAGAAAAATAATTAACATTTCCAGGTTTTTTATTTTTCATTTATTTTTATTATCGATTTTAAATTTAATTTACTTTAATTTTATATTTATAGCACTAGCCAAGAAAAGCGAGTTGTTTCTTCTTTCTTAGCACTATTTTTAATAATAACATTTTCAATTACCGTTTAACATATTAATTATATTAATGAATTATACCTATTAATTAATCATATTAGGGGTCGTCCATAAATTACGTAAGACATTTTGGTGGGAGGGGTGGGTCTGCTAAATCTTACGAACCGTAGAAAAAATGGCGCTAATGTATGTAAAAAATCTTACAAAGGGGGGTGGGTGGTTAAATTTTCCAAAAAAGTGACTTACGTAATTGTATTTAATTGTATTTACTTACGTAAATTGTTTGCAATTAAGAATTAATTTTTAAATGATAAAGTTTTAAAATATTTTAATTACACAACAAAGAAATTTTTAACAATTTCCAAAACGAATTAAAACAATAATGAAAATAATGAATAATAAAACAATTATTGAATATTGTCAACAAAAATAAAACAATAATGTCAAAAATACTAAAAACTAAAAAAATTTTTCAAACCATTTATTTAAAAAATAAAAGTAAATATTTAAATTATGAATTAATTAAATTACCAATTAAATATTAACAAATTAGTTAAATTAAAAACAGCAACTACTTTCTCTACCTTATTCAAAAAATGCGACATTTTTAATCAGGGTTTCTAAAAAGATTAATTTTCTTTTTCCTGATTTTCATTTTTCTTCAACCAAAAAGGTTAATCTGGTTCATATTACTGTAACTTTTCAAAAATTTTAATTAAATTATTTTCTAGAATAGATACCTATTCAATAAAAATTCTTCTCTGTATCAGTTATTTTTAATACAAATTTTTAAAGAAGTTCTTTGAAAATTCAATTCAAGAATTTGAATAATTTTTTTTTTTAACTACTTTAAAAATTTTAATTGTAAAAAAAATTATAAAAAAAAATTAACTTTCAAAAATTGAACCCTATTAAATTCATTTACTTATAAAATTTTTAAACGCATTTCTTATAATATTCAATAACTTAAAAAATATTTAACTAAAATTCCTCTCTAAATCAATTATTTTAAATTTTTGAGACAGTTCTTTGATACTTTTATTATTTAACCAATAAAAAGAATGTTAACTTAAAATCTGAACATAATTTTAAAATTTTTCAATTAAATATGTATTCAAAAATTCAAACGATTTCAAAAAATTTGAGAAACAATTTTTAAAAATACTATCTTCTTCGGAATATTTAATTATAATTATTTAAAAAAGTTTAAATTTCCTAAAATTTGAAATTGAAACCTGTTTGAAATTCAATTATTTATAAAAGTTGTAAACGCATCTCTTATAGAATTACATTATTTTTTAAATATTCAACTAAAATTCCTCTTTAAAATCAATTTTTAAAAACTTTTGAAAAACTTTTTCGAGAATTCAATTATTTAAACAAAAAAAGAATTGTTACATAAAATAATTTTGAAATTCATTTGTTGACTATTCAGTTTTACTAAATATCAATTATTCGAGACTTTTTTAATTAAATATACACTCTAACGCCGGTTTATCGGACACAGGTTTAAGTGAGTTTTCGACGTTGGAGTGTATTTTAAAAAATTCAGACAATTTCAAAAGAATTTGAATACAAATTTTTCTAAAAACTAATTTCTTCAGAATTTTAAATTAAAATTATTTGATATTTAAATTTTTTAAATTTCAAATTGAATTAAATTATTTCAAATAAGTTCAATTTCATATTCTGTACAGTTCAATTTTTCGAATTATCGAAATATTGTAAAATTTAATTGAAAACTATTTAATTTTCAACATATTTTAACTGCAATTTGCTTTTTTTTAATGATCGAATTCTCGAAAAACTTTCTTAAAATTACTAAAAATATTTTACTTTAAAGAACTTTATTAGTTAAAAATTCTAAAAAAATAATGGAATTTTAAAAGAATTACTTACAATTACTATTATAATTTTTAGAAATAATTAAATTTCAGAAGATTTGAAATTATAATTATATATATTTTATGTACCTATTTTTTACATAACAATAAGTATTTAAAATAATTTAACAAAAGCACTGAAACATTGAATAATTTAAATTAAATTAAATTAAATTAAATTAAATTAAATTAATTAAATTTAAAGTTTTTCTGAAATTTGAAAATGACTGAATGAATGAATATTTAGAAAAAGAATTCCTTACTTGAATAACTTGATGAATCATATTTGCAACTTTTTCCAACATTGCAGTGAGTCTGTGTGCTCGTTCAGTTGGTTGAAGTTCAGGTCTGTAGTGAGTACTCGCTCTGTATCTCGCAGCCAGATACAGAGTGTAAGTAGGCGCGAGTTTAAATTGCGGAGAATTCGGCTCCACGTCTGTGATAACAGCGTGAAGAAAAGTGTCCTCCGACTGTTCCAAAAATTCCAAAACAGCCGGCAATATTGGATCCGTGCCCCTCGGTTGTTGAGACAGTCTAGAAATATAAACATTTCCATGTTTATACCAATTTTTCCAAAAAAAAACACTATTATCAATCAGATTAAATTAAATTAAATAATTAAGTAAAAAAAATAAGTAGGTATAAAAATAAATATATAAAAAAATAGGTTTAAAAAAATATAAAAAAGTATAAAACATAATTGAAAAATAAATATATAAAGCCATGAAAAAATGTGAGACTAACTCTGCTGGGGCTCGAAATGAATTGACAATTGTTTCGTGAAAAATTCTGGGAAAATTCAAATATTATAAAAAATAAATTTATAAAAAAATAAGTATGAACAATGAAAAATCGGACAAGTGCGAATTTAAATCGCCAGGTTTAAGTAAACGAAACGAACTTATTGAGAGACAAAAATGACGCGTATAATTTAATAGACAATAATAATAATGGTGAAGTGTGAGAAAAATGAAAAAACTGAAAGTTAACAGTTTCGTAATTTTCTCCATTATAAAGTAGTAACACAGTGCATGTAGTGAGATAGAAAATTTATCATTTTCCATTAATCGACTTATTTCTTGTCAGCTCGCTGCTAAAGGGTAAAGATTAAAACTTTTCTTTTTTCCCTTTCACCCTGTAAATTATATTTGAATGCACAAGGGGAATACTAATTAATGAAAACCACTGTTAACTGTAAGCAACTGATTGTACTGTAAAATGTAATTAAAAGTTTTAACGCTTCAACATTATATTCGTAAAGTGAGACTTGTGAATACATATATACGCGAGCGATATTCAACTTTGAACAAAAGACTTTAAATTCATTTTAGTAACACAATGAAGGGTAAACTAGTTACTTTTGTCTCTAATCGCGAAATTTCCTTATCCCAAGGTCAGTTATTATATTAAACATCGAGAATATAAATTTCAAATCAAATTCAAGAAAAAAAGCAAAAAAAAAAGATAAGAAATAAAGAAAGAACGAAGAGAAGAAAAGAAAAAATTAAAAAAGAACGTGAATGTTAAATTACACTTAAAACGTATTTTCTTACCTTCAATCATTGACCTCATGTTTCTGAGATTTAAACTACGAATAAATAGCATTTCTACTGTTTCTTCTCAAAATAATTGGTAAGAAATTTCTTATTTTTTCCCAGAGAAGAAATTGTGAGGAATGGAAGTTTTGCTTACCTGTTTCCGTCACGGCTACTAGTGAGACTAGCGGTTTCTACATTTCCATCGAGATCAAAAGTGGTCTCATAATTGTGCGTCGTTTCCAATGGATTGTGGGTGGGGCTCCTGGGACTTGCGGCAGATTTTGTGGGACTTGGCGGATTCGAACCTGGACCACCGTTTGGTGTTCCAGAATCCGATCTATATTTTTCAGAGCTCACCTCCTGGCTGGTAGCATCAGGCGATCTTCTAATGGGCAAAAGCGAGGTGCAAAAAAAAGTAACATCAAGCAAAACAAAATAATACTCCTCTATGAGGAATAATCAGGGTTGCCACAAAAAATCGCAACACTTTTCATTCGTTTTTTGTCTCAATTTGATATTTGCAGAAAAACTGTCATGACAAAAAAACGTTTGTAATACATTTATTTTTAAATATCTTTAATTCTAAAATTATTCGGATTTTAAAAAGTTTCAAACTTCAAATCATTTAAAATTCAATAATATTTATAAGAATTGATACTGTAACTTCTCCTAAATTATTTCCAAGATTTCAATAATTTAATTATTTTCTAGAATTTTTAACTAAAATTCTTCTCTAATTCAATTATTTTCAATAATTTTTGAGAAAGTTCCTTAAGAATTCAAATATTTTTTTAAAGAAAAAAAAGTACACCTACAACATTTCTAAAATTTACTTGTTTACAATAATTCAATTTCAAAAAAGTATTAATATTAACATTCTAAAATGTAATAGTTACTTATTACTTGGTACTAATTCAGATTTAGATAATAAGTTTTCTGGTAATAAAAAATTTAATTCTTTCGAAAAATGTTATTAAAATTCTTCCTGAGAAGAATTTTCTTACATTTATAAAAATAATTAAATTTTTGTAAAATTTTTAAACGAATTTAATTGAAATTGTATTGAAAATAATTCACTTCTTATATTGAATTTTATTGAAATTTATTTAAAACAGTTAAATTATTTCTAGAAATTTTGTTAAAATTTATTTAAAACAATTGAATTGTTTTCAAAAATTTTATTACAATTTTCTTCAAAATAAATTAACCCTTCTGAATTTTTTTATTTACTTATAAATTATAATTTATGAAAATAGTAGAATTCTGGCTATAAATTTTATTCAAATTATTAAAAATAATAATTTAATTCTTTCGAGAATATTGAAAATAATTTAATTTCTGAGACTGAATTTTTAGAGAATATTGAAAGTAATTGAATTTCTGCAAAGCATTTAAATAAAATATCCAGAAATAATTGAATTCTTTAGAAAATATTGAAAATAATTTAATTCTAGCGGTGAATTAAATTAAAATTTTAAAAAATAATTGAATTATTGTGGAGAATTTTATAAAAATTTCGAAAAATAATTTAATTGAGGCCTTGGATCCAATAACTCGCCCGACGCTCGAAGGCACGCGCTAATACCAGTCGGGTAGCAGTGAGTGGCCCAGAGGCGCTCACTGCTCACTGACTGGCAGTTGCGCGTTCCTCCGAGCGTCGGGCGAGTTATTGGATCCAAGGCCTCAATTCTTCCGAGAATACTGAAAAAGAGTGAATCCCAGCGGAGAATTTAATTATTTATGAAAATAATTGAATTCTTTAGGGAATATTGAAAATAATTGAATTTTTTTTAGAATATTGAAAGTAATTGAATTTCTGCGAAGCATTTAATTAAAATATCCAAAAATAATTGAATTCTAGCAGAGAATTTGATTAAAATTTTCAAAAATAAATGAATTATTGTAGAGAATTTTATTAAAATTTCCCAAAATAATATAATTCTTTCGAGAATATATTGAAAATAATTGAAATTTTGCCAAGAATTCGAATGAAATATCTAGAAATAATTGATTTCTATATAGATTATTGAAAATAATTGAATTGCTTTGCAAAATTTTAATAAAGTTGAATTCTGTATATTTTGAATCTAAAATTATTAAAAAATTGAAGTTGATGTTTGAAAACAACAAATTTTTCTCTGACTTGTGGCAACCATGAATAAAAATAAAATAAATAAAAATAATTAAAAAATAAAGTAAAATTGAGCCAAAGAAATAAGTACATTAAGTGAAATATAAAACAATAGAAGTGTTAAACAAAAAAAAATTTAACCAAATGTTAAATTTCAACTTAGAAAGAAACTTAGTTTTTCTTTTACTTTTTTTCCTTTTTCGTGAGTCTAGAAAAAAAACATATTCCCAACTCTGCTCCAAATTAAAAATAAGAACAAAGAACAAATATATTTTACATTCTCACAAAAAATGAGAAAAGTAGCAAAATAAATTTAACAAGAAGAGAAAAAAAACTACTGTTAACATTTATTTCTATAAAAAAATAAAATTCCTTACCTATCGTAAGCGTAAGCATCCAACTGTCGATTGGAATCATGTCTGTACCTCATTCGATCCTCAGGTGTAGGATCAATAAACCTGAAAGTGTGCGACCTTCCAAATTTTACAATAGCGCCATTCTAAAAATAGAAAAGAAAAATTAATATTTTAATTATTAATAATAATAAAGTACAAGTGACATATTCTGTCTGTCAGTAAAAATGACAAAAAAATTTGTCTGTCCGCATGAAGTAAAAAAAATTAATATTTTACTTTTTACTGATAGAAAAACGAATAAATTGCTGTGTGTATTGAAAGTGATAAATATTGAGAAGAAATACAGTCTAAATCTGAATCAGTGAAAATTTCACTGATTTCAATTCGGTGACCCAATTTTCTTTGATGAATCAGTTGTTTTTTACTGATTTTCAGTGAAATTTCACTGAATTAAATAAAATATTAATTAAAGAATTAAAGAAATATATGTACAAATGTTAATAAATGTACAAGCAATGATCAGTTTATAAAAATGAGTGGCAAATGGAACATTGTACGCGCTTTTTTTGCTAGTTAAATATAATTTACTTTCAAGTTTTTTTTATAAACTTCTAAACACTATGTTTGTTCTAAGTTTTATCATATATACGTAGAAATTGCAAATAATAACAGGAGAAAACTTTCCCTCAAATAGGTAATATTGAATTTCATGTTGTTTCAAAGAAAGAAAGAAGGAAAGAAAAAAAGAACTAGAACCAAACAAGTCTCAACGAGAAGTGTCTTTAGTGGCACTGACACTTAAAAACTTTTCTTAATATACGTGTAGAGAAACAATTCAATAACTGTATTTACTAGGTTGTGCTACTATATTTATAATTTTCAACTTTCTGTTAAATATAAATCTAAATAAATTTTTTTTCAGGCTTCGCACTCGGTAATTAATTAACAAAGAACAAAAAAATAAAAAAAGTATTTTCAAGATTCAAAAAAAGTAGTAAAAACTGTAGCTAACGAAAAGTTAAATTTGACGACTAAAAAACGTCCTAGTCAATTCAATGTACAAAAAAAGTAATTTATTTTATTCAGAGTTATCGGTAAAATTTGATGATCTATTTCTTTGATTTCCGGAATGAAATTTATTTATTTCTACAAATTACAACTGCGTAATTCTATCAAAATTAAATTATTTTTTTTGAATTTTTAAATAAAATAATTTAATTAATCAATTACTTTAATGCCTTGTTTTATGTAAAATTAAAAAATTAATTTTCGGAAATTTTATATCACTTTTGTTCTAATCAGTTGAAATTTTAACTAATATTAAGATTTAGAAAATATTGAGATACTAATTTTTGCAATAAATGATTTAGAAATTATTTTATTTTCTATAATTCTGCTCTTAAAAGTTTTACTTAATTTTCCTTTAATTTTGAAAGATAACATTTTGTTTTAAATGTTATATTTGTTTATATTTAAATGTTATAAATTGTATAATTTTGAATCTAAAATAATTCAATTCTTTCGACAAATTTTATTAAAATTTTTAAAATAATTCAATTCTTTTGACAAATTTTATTAAAATTTTTAAAATAATTCAATTCTTTCGACAAATTTTATTAAAATTTTTAAAATAATTCAATTCTTTTGATAAATTTTATTAAAATTTTTAAAATAATTCAATTCTTTCGACAAATTTTATTAAAATTTTTAAAATAATTGAATTCCTGAGGAGAATTTTCTACGAAAAAGTTTATTAATTATAGAATTAATTAAATTCCTTTGGGAAATTTTATTAAAACTTTACTGAAAATAATTCAACTACCACGAACAATTTTATTATAAACGAAAATAATTTAATTCTTTCGGGAAATTCTATCAAAATACGTGAGTTCATTCGATGAATTTTATTATCTATTGAAAATAATTGAATTATTTCGAGAAATTTTATTAAAATTTTGTTGAAAGTAATTGGATCAATGTACATTTTTTTATTTATTTTGTTAATTATTATTTATGAAAATCATTGAATTTCTTCAAAGAATTTTATTAAAATTTAATTTTAAAAAATTTGAATTCCTTCGAAGAATTTTATTAAAATTTTATTTAAAAAAATTTGAATTCTTCGAGAAATTTTATTAAAATTTTTATCAAAATAATTCACTCTTTTGTTTCAAGATCAAAAAATATAAGAAATACAAATAATGAATTTCTGTGAGAAATTTTATTGAATCTTTTGAAAATAATTAAATTTCTACGAAAAAGTTTATTATTTTTCCAAACAATTGATTGTTTGCTAATAATTTTATTATTTATGAAAATAATTTAATTCTTTTTAAAAAGTTCATTAAAATTGTCTTGAAAATAATTAAATTCCTGACAACAATTTTATTTTTTATGAAAGTAAATACTTTTCGGCAAATTTTGTTAAAATTTTATTTAAAAAAAATTAGAATTTCTGTGAAAAATTTTATTATTTAATGAAAATAGTTCAATTCTTTCGGAAAATTATATTGAAATTCTATTTTTAAAAAATAGTTTTCAGTGAAATTCAATTTTTTCATTATTCTTGAAAGAATTTGATTATTTCTGAAAATTTTAATAAAATTTTCCGCTGGAATTCTCTTATTTTCAATATTCTCGGAATAATTGAATTATTTTCACAATTGTTTTTGAAAATAATTGAATTCCTTATAGAAATTTTATTTAAATTCTCTTGAAAACAATTGAATTCGTCCGAAATATCTTATTATTTATGAAAATAATTGAATTCTTGCGATGAGTTGTATTGAAATTTTGAAAATAATTTAATTCTTCCGAGCTCTCTAAATCTGAATTAGTGAAATTCCACTGAAAATCAGTGAAATTTGACTGAGAATCAGTGACTCTATTCTCGCGATTTGAATCAGTGGAATTTCACTGAAAATCAGTTAAAAATAATTGAAATTTCAGTCATTTTCCACTGATTCGTTAATTAAAAAACTACTGAAAATTTATGTCACACATATTGAAAATTTCAGTTATTTTTTAATTGGCCAATCAGTGAAAAATGACTGAAATTTCAATCATTTTTAACTGATCTTCAGTGAAATTTCACTGATTCAAATCGCGAGAATAGAGTCACTGATTCTCAGTCAAATTTCACTGATTCAGTTTTAGAGAGAGAATATTGAAAATAAGTGAATTCCAGTCGAGAATTTTAACTAAATAAATATTCAATTACATTATTTTTTATTTTAGTCTAGGAATTTTGAAAAATATTCCAGCGGAAAAAAATATTTCCTTGATTTGAAAAAAAAAATTAGGAAAATAGATAAATTTTGAACTTTACGAGAAGATCAAGATAGTGGAAATTTGTTTTCAATTTTTACTACAAATTAAAAAATAAATGTTTTTTTCATTTAAAATTTTTATCTCGAAGTAGAGATACACTAACTTTTTTTAATCTTAAGAGGTAGAGATAAAGAGAGAGAGAGAGGGAGAGTTTTAACTTTTAATTAAAATTTTTTTTATCTCGACTATAAATTTTTTTACCTGAAGAATTGTGGTGTAATTGATCATCGCATTGTTGACGTATGTGTGAGCTTCCCTCGAGCAGGGAGTTAATGTTACAGTATTATCGGTATAAGCAATAATGCAATGTCTAGGCATCACGGTTGGTCCAGCAAGAATTATCGTTTGCGCCTGAATTTTTGGATCGATTGGAATTTCCGATCCAACTTCGGTGACATTATTTGGCTTCAATCGATGACGAATTCCACCTCCATTGGCAATATCAGTGCCATCGGGATTTAATTCAACGAAAAATGGCAATCTCTCGTCTTCATAGCGATGATCAAATTCACCCCACTTTCCACTTGGTTTCTTCTTTCTTTTGCGAGGCACATAATCCGCCGGCCTTCTCCTCACATGGAACATAATTGAACCTGAAAAAAAGAAAAATTTAATATTAATATTAAATTACGAATGAAAATAAGTTATTATTACTATAAATTAAATTATCTCCATTTCTAAAATCATTAATTATTCCATTCTTTCATATCAAGAAAAAAGAAAAATTCACAGAAACAGAGTTGAAAAAAAAATTTTATTTTTTCCTGATTTTCACTTTTCCCCTGCCCCTAAAGAATATTTTTATTTTCTCTAAGAAACTGTTAGACACACAAAAAAATGTTTTTAATATTTCAGAATATCTTGAATATTGTGAAATTATTCGAGATTTTTGTTGTTATAATTTTTCATAATAGAAAAATTTGTGGAAAAAGTATTTTTTTGCACTGAAAAAAGATAATGAACTTTATAGAAAATTATTGCCCAGTTGACAAGTGTCAACTTTACCTATACATTTTGTAACAAAGTAATCAATTCTCTTTACTAATTCATCAAAAGAGGAAAACTAGATACAAGTATAGAATATCAATTTCTCTAATTTCCTCTGTACCTCTAAAGTTTCTTGACAAGAAAATCATTAGAAAATATAAAATTCTATTATTCAAACATTAGAAAAAAAAACTTTTGATTTTATTCTTAAAAAACCTTTATAGCCAACAATTTAGAAAAAAAAAATTATTTTGGTTAATAAATAAATAAATGAAACGATTATTTCCGTTTATTTTTGTCAATATATATAAATCAGGGTTGACACAAAAATTTAATTTTGTTTTTCCCTGACCCTAAAGAATATTATAATTATTACCTTTACAAAATTCAATTTTTTCTAAAAATTGTTATCAACAAATTTTTAAATAATTGAATTCTTTCGACGAGTTTTAATAACATTTTTAAGAATAATTACATTTTTCGAGGTATTTGATTAAAATTTTATTAAAAATCTAATTGAAATTCTGCAATGAATTTTATTATGTATGCACTATTTATAATTTTTAATAATAATAATAATAATAATAATAATAATAATAATAATACTAATAATAATAATAATAATAATAATAATAATAATAATAATAATAATAATAATAATAATAATAATAATAATAATAATAATAATAATAATAATAATAATAATAATAATAATAATAATAATAATAATAATAATAATAATAATAATAATAATAATAATAATAAAATAATAATAATAATAATAATAATAATAATAATAATAATAATAATAATAATAATAATAATAATAATAATAATAATAATAATAATAATTGAATTAATAAAAATTAATTAATTAATTTATAATTGAATTACTGCGAAGAATTTAATGCCAAATTCCTGTGAAATTTTTATTTTTTTTGGAAAATAATTGAATGTTCATGTGGAATATTATCAAAATTTTTGTTTAATACATAATTTAATTCTTTTGGAAAATTTTATTAAAATAATAGAATATTGAAAATCATTAAATTAAGAAAAATTTTTGAAAATAATAGAATATTTTTAACTTTTGAAAATAATTGAGTTCTTGAGATGAGTACTATTATTTACGAAAATAATCTACATAATTTTGAATTAATTTTATTAAAATTCCTGAAAACAATTGAATTTTGCTATTTATTTATAAAAATAATTGAAATGTGGACAATTTTTTTTTAGATATTTTTAAAAAATTGAATTTCAGCGAAGAATTTTATTAATTTTGAAAATAATTGAATTCTTGTGATGAGTACTATTATTTATGGAAATAATTGAATTTTGCAATGAATTTTATTAAAATTCCTGAAAACAATTGAATTTTGCTAGGGTAAGTGCGGGTATAGTCGGACAGTACTAGTAGTCGGACACTTTCGTGTTTTTTGGCAAATAAATAATAATGCATTGTGATAATTACTTTAAAAAGTATACTAGACGAATGTGTGAAGTTTATATTTTATTAAAATAGTGTTATTTTCGAAAATAATTAAACAAGAAACATTTTATTTAATGTTTTAAAAATCATGGTGTCCGACTATAGATACAGCCATTTTCGAGTAGCGCGATGAGTGGCACAAAGTTTTGTTGATAATTAATCATAAATATTAAAACTTATAGGGTTTAAATATTATATTAATAACTTCTAGTATGGTTTAATTCCATTTTCCAGCAGATAGCAATTAAAAAATTATCTTTTTTACTTTATAAATTCTAAATATCTGACAGATGTCCGACTATAGAAACAAGGGGAAAAAGTGTCCGACTACTCAAGCATTCGTAATTTTTTATTAAAATGTTTATATTTTATTAAATACTCAACTATTTGTAACAAATTTATATGATTTTTAATCCTGAAGAACTCCTTTAATTAATAATGTGCCTATAAACACAGTAGATATTTTCTATTTCAAGAAATAAAACATAATTTAAGATTGTATCCTTAAGTGTCCGACTACTAGTGCATTTACCCTATTCATTTATAAAAATAATTGAAATGTTAAAGACAATTTTTTTAAAAATTTTAATTGAATTCTTGTGATGAATATTGTTATTTTTGAAAATAATTGAATTTTACCATGAATTTCATAAAAATTCCTGAAAATAATTGAATTTCGGCGAAGAATTTTGCTATTTTTAAAGATAATTAAAATGTTGACGTGAATTTTTTTTTAATTTTTGAAAATAATTGAATTTCAGGAAAGAATTTTGATATTTATTAAGATAATCGAATTCTTTCAAAGAATTGCGTTAAAATTATTAAAAAATTGTAAATAATTTCAACAGAATTGAAATTAAAATTTTTCAAAAAAATACTTCATTGAATGATTTATTCGTAATAACTTTATGGCAGTTCTTCAATAGAATTAAGTTATTTAAAGTCAATTATTGTTAGAAGTAGAAAAAATTGAAGGTTTTTTTTTAAATTCGTGGTAATTACATAGTTTATGAGGTAAACAAAAAGACACCAAAATTCATAATTTTCCAACAAATTATAAACATTTAATTTTTTCCAGTACTTTTAATAACAATTCCCTGACTTTTCCCTGATTTCCCTGACAAATTCCACTTTCCCTGACTTTTTCCTGAATTTCCTGACCTGTGGCAATCCTGTAAATGAATAAAATGACTTGTCTCGTTTATTTTTTTTAATAAATAAATAAATTAATAAGATAGAAAAAATTATAAAAAGGAATAAAGAATATATAAAATTAAAAACTTTTTTTATAAATAACAAGAAGAAACTAAACTAGAAAAACTAATTATAAATTCTGTCATATCTTTTGTCTCATGGGAACAATTTCAAAAAAGAAAACTCGCAGTAACGCAGAAAGTTTATCTAGCCACTCAGGAATATAATAATAAAAAAAGAAGGGGAAAAAATAAGTTTTAGAATAAAAATCGTACCGTGAAAATTGAGTTTCTTCGACCATCCCATCGTGATTTAAAATCTTATCTGATTATATTTTACAAAAACCGTCTAGCAACGCACTATACAATTCCAAGACTGATCTTGTGCTTTTAACGTCGAGGATGGACGAAGAAAGCGGAAGATCACGATTAAAAGCACTAAAAATAAAGTCTCGCGTGTTTACTATAGAAAATGACTTTGTGCTTTAATTTTTGCTGCATTATGGTGAATTTTTTCTATACTTTTTCGAAAAAAAAACACAGACACTCTAAATATCTCAATTAGTGAAGATTTTAAATTTAAAAAATAACCGACACTAAATTTAAATCAGTGACAATTTCAAATTAAAAAAACAATAATTAAAAAAAACTAATTAAACTGATTAAAAATTTTTTTTCTTGTGTATAAATAAAATAAAATAAATAAAGTTAACATATAAATACTTAAAACATTTTTCACAAACTTAATCTCTAATATTGTCTCACGAGAACTTAATTATATTCCTGAAAATTAAAAACTGAAAAGTCACCCAACTTTCTCTTCGCAGAAGTTTAAAATTGAGTTAGAAAAAAAAGAAGATGACCTTACAAATCTCTCTATATAAAATCTAATAAACTTTATAACAAAAAGGAAGAAAAAAGAAAATAAGCTACAAAATAAACTTTTTTCTACTTGCTTTAAGCGCGAGAAATTTTCTTTTTCTTCCTTTCGTGTCCCCTTTCAACTCTTACTTTACAACCTTTTTCTACCATCTCGTAAATGTATTATTCTATTGCACTTTAGAAAAATGGTTTCCAAGGGCAAACTCTTCAACAACTTAAAAGACAAAATTTTCGTTTTTTCAAAAAATTCTTTTTTTGAATTAGTTATTTAGTTTGGAAAAATTTCCAAACTAAATTCGTAGTTGTAGTTTGTAATTTTAGTTTTAGTTATAATAAGACATATATGTGTCTACCTTGAGAAATATTGATACAGCTGTTGAGCATTGAATTTTAGCGATTAGTCGAGTTTTGTTTTGGTTCAGTGATCAAAGTCACTTTTCTTCTGAAAATTCTCTTTGACACGCGGAAAATGTCAATAAATTCATGTACACTATAATCGAGGAGCAATCACAATTTTCGTCATCTTCATTTTTTTTCTCTCTCTGTGTGTGTACCTTCAAAAATACCCACGCTTCCTCTATCTCTTATTTAATAAAGACAAAACTAAAAAAAGACTTTTCTTTATATAAGAAAAGTTGGAAGAAATTTTCTTCTTTACTCTTTCCGGATATTACGAATTATTTACCTAATTTTTATTTAGGTACTGCATTTTCTTCTAATAAAATTTGTTTCTTAAATATTTTTTTAAATTCTTTTTTCAATATAATTTACTACTAAAAAATTCCCCCATTTTTCTATTTAATTTAATAATTAAAAATTAAACTATTTTAATGTTGAAAAAATATTTTATAGAGAAGAATTCTTTTTTTTTATAAAATGATTTAATTGTTCGAAAAAATTATTATTCTTTATGAAAATAATTTCAATTATTGCGAAGAATATTATTAATTAAAATCATTAAAAATAATTGAAATCCTCTACAGAATTTTAGTATTTATGAAAACAAATGAATTCTTGCCAAGAAGTTTCTTAAATTTTT